GAAAGAAAATACAACAAAAAAAGAATCACGCAAGTCAATTTGTTTTTTCTCCAAGCTGTCACCAGTTATCCATTTTATGAGTACTTGTTTAATCTTGTGTTTTATCAAAGCGATTTAAGTTGCTAGAGTAACCAGGTAACAATGTCAGGACGCAAAACAGGTGTGTGTTATATGTAGGGAAAGTTCCAGTAATAATGTTGATGTGTAAAATACTCAGAAGAGCCTTTAATTCAAAGGCTTGAATGTGCTGCAATTAGCCATTGTTTTCGACTGGAAATTTAGTGAACGTTTTTTTAGCCCATTTTTGTGTTTGAGGGAAGTTTCTTTATAAATTATATAAAATTATGGAAAATATAAGCAAGGTTTTTTTAGGGCTCTAAACACATGTGGTTCACCAGAAAATGGCTTCTGAATTCAATATTGCCTTGTATTAATAAATAAGTTGTATGCCAGTGAAATATGTGTCAAATGACTCTTGTACATTATAAATTCAATGATTTGAAAAGCTTTCAACCTATTCTTTCCATCTGGTGCATATTGGCCTGATAAATGCATTTGTAGTAAATGTTAGCAATATTACCTTGTATATTGTATGCTAGTGAAGTATGTGTCAAATGACTGTTCTACATTATAAATTCAATTATTTCAAAAGCTCTAGTTTCAAATCACTCTTTCCAGCTGGTGCATTTTGGCCTGATAAATAAATGCATTTGTGGTAAAATTCACTGTCAGGACTTACTAGACCATAGCAAGGACTGCTTGAAATTCCGCCATCAAATTGCAGCCTCTCTCTGTGCCCTTTTTGTCTCGCCAAAATGTCGGGGAAGTTTCATTTGTTTGGCCTAATTGTTTCCTGGAGCAATTTCATGGTACTGTTGATCCGTATTGACTTGGCCAGATGGTTCGTACAAGCAGTCAGCTGCTGTAGGTTCTCTTGCAAATAGTGCCGTGTACCTAAACCCACATTTAGGTTCAGGTCCGGATTCAAGTCTAGAGGTTTAGGTTCAGTTCCGGACTCGTAAGTCTGGAACTAAACCCCATAGCATATACAAAATTGCATGTTTTCAATGTTGTTTGGGCAAAATTTGTCCACATAACATGGAGGCCGATACTTGACGATGCCCGATGGCAATGTTTTCCTCATTTTGCAGCACAGATTTTGGAAGGTTTTAGGTGGTTTGGAAAGAAAAGGGGTATGTGAAATGGTTTTTTTTTGGTAATAAGTCCGGACTCAGTTCTTGACTTTTAGTTTTTTTTGGACTTGAACCTAAACATTCTTACAAGTCCGGATCCAAGTCCAGTGAACCGGTACACAGCACTACTTGCAAACAAGATGTTAAAATTTGTGGTGGGAAAATTTCACCAGAAACACGAGATATTTTGTCCACGAATCTCTTCCACCATCCCTGCATTGAAGGTTGGTACCTACGGTTTAGTTTTAAGTCTAAATGAGTAACGGTTCTTACAGATTTTCATGTATTTTTGTATGAAATCCTACTATGTTGTTGCTATATAGTGATTGGCATGTATAGTGGAGCTTTAAATTAAAGGGTTTTGAGTTACTGCATTCTGGATTGGAAGAATTTTTGTTCTATTTTGGGCTGAATTGTTTTATAAAGAGAAATTAGGTTGTTACCTTTTTGAGGATTTGAATTAAAGAGTAGGTGAAAAACATTAAGTTGTAAAACTGAATTACCAGGTTGTTTGAAGGTTGTATAATTTGATGCGGTCTGTGTTATTTGATGTAGTACAAAGAAGAATTTAAAATGATGTACAAAGAAGGATTTCATACAAAAACTCATGAAAATCTAATAATTTCATGTTTGTCTCACTACCAGGATGTCTAAGCTTTTTTTGACATACAGTTTTACATTCTTTATTTCTGCTCTCTTCCAGAATGTGGCAGAAAATGCAGAAGAGTATGACTTTGAGAACTTCGGCTTTGAAGACCAAGAAGAAGATAATGAGTGAGTGATATCATAATATTTTTTCTCTTAGCTAGAAATATGTCACAATGTTAATTGTAAACTTTAAAAAGTTTACACTTCATAATTATTATATACACTGTAAAATTTGACGTTACCATTACTATTCTTGCAAGAAAGCTTATGGATTTCAAGGACTAATTTAGATGTTTTGCCAAGATGTCATGGCCAGTTGGTATAATTTAATGTTGGTTTTGTGTCTTCTTCATTTGCAGACCACCAAAATCAGCCGATGGTCCAACAAAGAGTGGTAAAACAGAAGCAGGTAAGTTTTGGAGAATAGTTATGTTATTGTTATCAAGTGATCATTGGCAAAAGCCTGTATTTTACATTGCCAAGTACAAATGCATCAAAAGCTTTCTGCATATTATTTGCTTTTACTGTTCTTCCAAGGCCGATAATGTATTGAAAGAACTTCTGTCAGAACATCTGCAATGGAATGAAAAATATCCTTCATATTTTCAAAACTAATATGTTGAAGTATTTTCTTTCCTTTTCCAAACAAAATTATGCTTGCTAAATGATCGTCTTCATGATTTTCAGGGTCCCAAGAAAAAGTTGGTATCAAGCCTTTGCCTTCCCAGAATTCCCCTGTCCTTCCGCGACTTCCGAAGGAAAATGGCTTACCGGAGAACGAGGAGCTTGAACTAGAACTTTCCACGGCCAGAAAACAGAAGATCCGCCGGAAACGAAGAACTCGGGAGTACGGTACGGGGAGACACGACTTGGACTCAGACCAGAGTACGGACGACTACACACCGACGAGTGTGCTCGGCGCCGTACGCAGGTTTGAGACCAAAGCGTCGGATCCGTACAGTAAGTCTCCACCTCGCGTGCCGCCTCGGAGAAAGCCGAGAATCGCGGGTAGGGGGAAGGGCATCGAAGCGAAGTTAGACCGCGTTTTCAGCCAGGAAAACAGGCCGGACGCCAGCGAGGAAAACACGGAAGAAGTCTCCACCGTTTCGCCACGTAATTCCACCAGTTCTGATGTCAGCGTGTCTCAATTTAGAGAGCTAGAAACAAACAACAACAACAACAGCAATGTAGTCAGGAAGGGAAGGACTAGAGACAAACCAGAAGTGTCTTCTACACAGACCAAACATCCATCCAGAACTACAGAGGATGGAAAACATTCTGCACTGAATGGAAACTCTGACATGCAGTTGGTTGCTAGGCGACACGAGTTGATTGACATTGAGGAGGAGCTGTTAAAAGAGCCCTCCAAACTTGAGATTGAGAAAATTTTCCCGCCGGAAAATCTCGAAGTTCCCAGACCGGCGTCCGGGAACCAGTCCAGCGAGGACACACTTTGCAGTGACGACGGGAAAAATCGCGACACGTCGCCCGAAGGTAACCAGGCGGCGACGCCCACGCCGACACCAAAGGATTGTGGGAGTGAAGCAAAGCATGCTGGGAGTGTTCCAAAGCCCAAGCTGCTGTCTGAGCGGATGTGGGAAGTCTGGCGAGCGGGCTGGGACGGTAACCTGGCCGATCTGGTGAGGCATCTCTCTCTCTCTCTCTTGTTGACCTTGTAGGTTTGCGCCTACTCTGTTCCAACAACTAGAACGAAACTAGATCTTGATACTTGATGCTTTATTGGGATATCCATTAGTCAACTAATCTTCCTGGATTCCAACAGTGACACAATGCAAAACATCACACAAACTTCACAATCATACACTACAGTATGCAGTATGCAGCACTGGTTGTCTTTTGGCTGTTGATAAACAGTAGAAATGTGATGGTATGAAGTATGTTGAAAAAGTTGTTATAGTTGTCATCAGGCAAAATTTTATTTTGGATTTTGTCACGAAAATCCTCAAATGCATGCCTTCATGTAGTTTTAAGTTGCAGATTGCCCAATCCTTGACTTGACATCAATGAATCTGACCCTGTGTCCTTTCAGCAATATCACCTTGGTGAGAAACCGTTTGCGATGCGTGATGATGGCGGGGACACCATCCTGCACACGGTGGTGGCGCGGGGTCACATGGCCTGCCTGCACTGGCTGGCGGGGGGACCGTGTTCCGACCTTGTGTTAGCCGAGAACGAAGACGGAGACACTCCAACAGCCGTGGCAGCTAAGGTAACTCTTACTTGTCATGCATTTATTCAGATGGTACGATCCAAGATGGCTGACCTTTGATGTCACAAATCAAAATGGCAGCATCCATGGACTGGAGGGTAAAACAGAATACTGTCATTCACAGTTATTAACTGTAGCAAAACTTCTTGGTCTAAGAACAATGGAGATGTTCATGGAACTATATATATATAGCTATGTGTTCACGGTGGTGGCAGGTGTAGGATGAAGAAAGTTGGCAAATTCTTTGTTAACAGTAATGATATCGATAAGTTTGTTTGATCTACATACAAATATTTTATGATCAAGGCAGTTAAAGAAATGCAATACCACTACCAATTGCTAGATGTCCTTCCTGCACTGTGAATCTGGTGTGTTACGCCTTTAAACATGTATAATACTTGTCCCTCTACCCCACAGTATGGGCAGCTGGAGTGTCTACGGTGGCTTGTTTGCGAGACGCCGGCAGCCAGGGAACTAAGACTCATGGGAGACAGACAACCTCTCCTGCATCAAGCAGCAAGATATGGGCAGGTCAGCGTTCTTAACAGATTTAACTTTTTCACAGCATAGGGGTCAGGTACAGATAAACTTTCTGGCAAAGACGTGACCACTGTAGGGGGTCTGGTTTTCTCCCAGAAGAATTTTAAGACTCGTAACCCTCTGAGACATGTTATTTTCTTCCTTTGTTTTAGCATCATTAATTCTAACATCAAATTTCAATTTCTTTAAAGAATTAGGAAGGGTTATAGGGTTCCTGCTTGTTTGTGCAGTCAGGTCATAGTCTAATGAAACTGACTAACAGTAATAAGGTTTCCTCAAAAAGAAACACCCCTACACTGGTTGAAATACAGCGTAGCAGGCTAAATTGCAGCATAGGGGTCCAAATCACAGTGTAAGGGACCCCTATGCTCAAACACCAATTGGCCATATTGGCCTGGTGTTAGTTGGTACTCAGAGGCCTCCCCAGAAATTCTTAGGGGAGAGGTGCTCCCTAAACAGTTGATGAAAAATCAGCAACTTTTCTTGAAAATACTAAGAGAACATCCTAAATTTTAACATTTTGGGAGAGGAGCTAGGATTTGGGGGGGAGAGCACGCTTGCTTCATTTCTTGGGGAGAGCCCTGGTACTAATATTTTCCTAGCCTAGTGATTCCTAGTAAATGTTAAAAAAATAACCTTTGACCTTTCCCAGGAGCCCTGCTTGAGGTGGCTGTTGGGTCACATGAGGAGTCAGAATCTGGGCGTCGACCTCCAGGATCACCATGGCAACAGCCCTGCCCACGTAGCAAGCATGCACGGACATCTCACATGTCTACAGGTAAGCCTTTCTTCATCATCATCATCATCATCCAGTGCATTTTGCATCTGCAGTCGTAAGAAAAACGTCCTGCATGCTGTGTACCGGTTCGCTGGACCGATTCCGAATTTGTAAAAATGTTTACGTTTGAGTCCAAAACAACCTAAAAGTCAATAATCGATTACAGACTTATTAAAAAAAAAAAACATGTCACATACCCCTTTTCTTTCCAAACCATTTAAAACCTTACATAGATTACAAAATCTGTGCTGCAAAATGAAGAAAACATTGCCATCTGGCATCGTCAAGTGTCGGCCTCCATGTTATGTGGTCAGAGTTTTGCCCAAACAGCATTGCAAGGGTGCCAACATGCAATTTTGTATATGCCATGGGTTTAGGTCGGAACTGAACCTAAACCTCTGGACTTAAATCCGGACCTGAACCTAAATGTGGGTTGTGTACATGAAATGAATTACAGTATATGTGTCAAGATTTAATCAAGGTACCTTGTTATCCGTCCCCAGACGCTGGTAGAATACGGCGTGGACGTGTTAACAAAGAATCGTGACTGTCTGACGCCGTGTATGCTGGCTGAGAGACAGGGTCACCTGACGTGTGTCAACTATCTCATCGTGGTGGAGTCATGCTCTACCTTCTCTGAACAGGTTAGTTTGTTTGTTTGTTTGTTTGTTTGCTGCAAGCTGTATCAAAACAACCTGTATTAAAAGGAAAAGACTCTCTGCTTACATCAATGCCTGTCTGTCAAGTTACTTGTATGTAACTTGTATGCAACTTGTATGTAACTTGTATATGCAACTTGTATGTAACTTGTATGTAACTTGTATGTAACTTGTATGAAACTTGTATATAACTTGTATATAAGTCGGTGAAGGTTAGACATCCAGGTAATAAGATATGCAAAAAAACAGTTAACCAAGCAACTTAATATGATTTTGAAAATGGTCAGATGTTTCAGGTAGCATCCACTACCTTTAACTGACGGTATCACTAACGAAAATATTTTCAAAATCCTATCTAGTTGCTTGAGTAACTGCTTTTTGGTGTAACTTGTATGTAACTTGTGACTTCAATAAAGATTTTTGTATTGTTACCCACAGTTTTGTAAATACATGTAGTCGTAAGAGTTGAATAAGAGTGCTTTCCATATAGAATTGCTGAAATGTTTAAGTCTTTTGACAAAATATTTATACATAAACACACAACAAAAGTTCAGCTACACTGGGGAGTTTTCGAGATGTACTCTGTCTCTTCTTTAACCCGATTAAGATCTTGTCTTGGAGTTCCCTTGTCATGTCTTTTGTTTAACCTTGAATCTTCTGCCTGAAGGTCATCTACCTGAAGCAGTCGCTAGGCAACAAGCTCCTCCCCAACAGAACGGCGCTGGACGCACATCTTCCAGACGAGAGCCATCAGGAGATACGCAAGGTGGGATGTCATCTTCTCTTACTCTCCTCCCTTTGTCACTTATCATGGACAAAACTACTAACACAAGCTGTAAGATTCTGTACAAACAACTATGAAAGGGTTGCTAGTGTCACGGAAATGAAAACAAACCTACAGTGGGTGTCACTGGAAGACAGAAAAAAATTGTCCAGACTGTGCATGATGTAGAAGATGGCTAATAAACTGGTGGATGTACCAACTACTTAGTACCTAATACCAGCTGAGAAAAGAACAAATACTAGAGTCATACTCATACCTTCAACTTCAAGTAGTACCAGAGTTACCAGCCAAGAATTGAGGTGGTCCAAAACTTGTATTTTAACGTCAGATTTTGAAAAGAAGGGGGAGTAGTGTAACAATGGGGTTTCAAGTGCTACCAACTGACTCCTCTGACTGACCTTTTGGCCTAGCGGTTAGCGCATTGTATTTGTAAGCTCGTGGGATGGGTTCGATTCACAGGAGCCAGGGTAGACTGTACTACTTGCCCCGTTTCAAAGTACAGTGTACTAAAGCTGTGTTTATCTCCTGTGTTCCCCAGATGTTGGCAGACTACGCAGGTTTGACCCGAGAGTTAGTCCAACAGTTCCAGCAGCTCCGGGCTCCCAGCAGCCCCCAGGACCTCAGAGTACAGAAAAAGGCAGCGGATTTGCAGACACGGTTTCAGCAGCTACAACAGGGAGGGAGGCCGAGACCTGGAACAGCAAACAGCAAACTGGGGCTGGAGCCTCTAGATGTTATGAGGTAGGGAGAACTAAGGAATGATCCACTAAGTATTAAGGGGAGGGGGGTTATGCAGTGTTTCTTCTTTTCAGTCAGGAATAATTATTGTTATGATTCTCTTTTTATTATCCTGTATGTAATTTTTTCCTTGGTGCAGAATGCTTTTTGCTTCCATTTTTATAAATAAAGAAAAACATGAAAGCAATCATCCATGCTTAAAAAATTTGTACTCTTGGATATTTGCAGTATTGTTTTTTCTTAAAATAAGTACCAAAACTGCCTCATCAGTGCAATGTCTAGATTTGAACTCTTTTTTTCTTTTTCTTTTTTAAAATTGCAGACAAAGACTGTCAGAGGCAGGTCGCAGGTTAGCCGACTCCCTACCAGAGGTCACGACCCCGCGACCTCCGACTCCACCCTTCCTGCAGTCTCCTCCCAGGGTGCAAAGGCTTGTGGGAAGCCCCACGCAAAGGACTGTGGGTAACACGAGCGACCCTGACTCTAGCAGTGGAAGTAATTTGCCACTCTTGGCGGATCCGGACGAAAACTCGCCGATACATGGCAGATACGAACAAGCCTCAACAGTGACAGAACCTTTACCTTTGAGAAAAGAGGAGGCCAAACCGGTGGAAGGATCTCAGACGCAGAGAAGAGATGTGGTCGAAAGGGTCGTGATGAGGAAAGAAAATAAACCCCGAGACAAGTACGAGTCTGAGAGCTCGACAGAGCCAAATTCGCCACGGACGTTAACGATGGTGGCGCGAGCAGTGAAGTCCAAGTTCACCAGGAAAAAGAACCATTCTCCTTACAGTTCCCCGTCTTCTAGCCTCAGTAGCATGTCTTCCTTCACTGACGGAGACACCCCCGTCAGAAACGGTGCCAATGGTTTGGCCCATAGCCCCAAGAGAGCACCAGCAACCTCAGAACAGAAACCCAGGACTTCTAACTCTGCCGAGGGCTCAAAGAACTCCCCCGACGCAGCAAAAGACTCTCAACCTCCACACAGATCGAGAGGGAAAAGACCAGTGGTTGAAAAGTTAAACAGTAACGACAACCTGCACCGAATATTCGAGAAGTACAACATCAAGGGAATTCTAGAGGACCCGTCAGAAACCAATGCTAAGTCATTTGGCGGATTCCGTACGCCGCTAGAGGTAAGTGAGGTACCGGAATTGAACGTTGACGTGCACCAACCACCAATGGACTACCTTCGCCGACTACAACCTTCCGATCCTCCGCTTAACACCGAGAGTTTCGCGGAGAAAGACGATTCCCCCGCCGCCCGTAGCTCGCCTCTTCCGGGCAACGCGCGAAGTCGCAGCAGCCCGAAGAGTTCTCTCAAGGATCCGAACTCCAAACCGAAACAGCACGGACACCGCGTTACGTTCGAGGAGAAGGTTTCGCAGATCGAAGTGGAACGGTACACGGATGACGTTTCGGAACGTTCGTGGTCCAACGCCGACGACCACTCCGTAACGGTTTTACCGGGAGAGATGGGTATAGGGAGTGTACATGTGACAGAGGCTCAGGTACATTACACAGAGACAGAGGTGAAACTTAAGGATGTGTCCGACGTGTCCGGGGAAGGTGGGGACAGTGTTCACCAGGGGGAGGGACAGCGCGAGAGGGAACAGCCTGAGGGTGTACCTGCCCAGCACACAGAGGTAAAATCTTTTCTATCAAATTATATAACATTAAAACATTATACGATTAGCTTTAATTTTTTGCAATCTTGTTCTTCAGACTTAACTATATTATCATGATTTGCATGCATCACATCAACTTCAGAAAGGAAAATTGACTTTGCAGTTACAAGAAATTGGACTTATTTAGAGAAATATGCATCTTCTATAAATTGCAATATGGAACAACTGTTGCTGCAAATTGGTTTTAAAATTATAGTTTTTTCTTTGTGCAGGGATGTATTCAGTCCTTCTTTTCTTGTTTCTGCTTATAAAATCTTTTTTTTTTTTCAAATGTTTTCACAGCAGGAAGGTGCTATCCCACTACAGAACTCACTGGACTTCTATAATGTGGATGGAGACCAAGACAAACCATGGTGAGCTCATGACTTTTTTATGTGTGTACCGAAGGAAGACATACATGTATTGTTATGTTTCCCTTTGCAGGAAAACATATTGTTTTTGCTCTGTTTCTTCTTCCTCTTTTTCTGCAAACAAATAAGGTCAATGACCTACACCATGATGTCTGTCACCATAGTAACAAGTGTTGGGTTACATCATGTTGTAATTTTTTGGCACAGGAGGGATTTAGACTCCTGTCACCATATACTGTTATACATGTATCTGAATGTGTTTGAGTAAGAATTACATGTAACAGAGCAGACCATATTCAAGGTAAACATTATGCATTTGCTTTGTTGTCTTTTTTTTAGATTATTTTTATCTTACCATCCCTGTAACTTGTTTCTTTTGTCTTTTTTTTTACAAGCCAAACTCTTCCTAATACATGTATGCCTTTAATGTTGCTTTTTACATGTAAAAAATATCTGCAGTGTTTGGATTGGCAAAGATGCATTTAGCAATTTTTACTGTTCAAGATTGTGAGGTAACATCTAGCTATAACTATTAACAACTATGGTTTTATTTTCTGACAATTGTTTGCATTTTTACTTCTTCAGGTATGAAAGTTCTGGAGACGAGGGTGAAGAAAAATCAAACTCTCATCATTCTACGAGACAAGACCCCCCTCCCAATATAGCCCACCCTGAACCAGAACTGGAACTGGAACCTGAACAAGTTATGTACTTCTAGAACCACCACAGGGACATGTACACAATGTATGGTGCCAGTAGGGTTAGGCTTGCAAGTAGAGCTGTGTACCTAACAGGGCTCGAAATTAAAGTGGTCCAATGGCCACTGATCACTGAAATCTAGGCAGGGACAACTAAAAAGACACTTTGGGACATTTTGGGGACAATACAAAAATAATCAACATCAGAATGTCAGCCCTTCTTTTGTTTATCAGGCACACATCCCGGCTTTTGGATCCGGAAAATCTCTCCAAATTTCCTGCCTACACTGCAATTATGGTGCGCCTGGGAGTGAACATATTAAAGCAAAATAAAGTTGACGTTAAGTTGAAGTCATATAATACTTCCCAAAAAAAGGTAGAGACAGTTCATCTTCACTTCGGGACAATTGAAATTTATTTTTGGGACAGTGCTGGGACAATAGGAAGAAAATTTAATTTCGAGGCCTGCCTAAGTGTCAGGTACATGTACTTATACAGAGGTTTAGGTACAGAGGTTTAGGTATACTGGTACGTCAGGACCTAGTATGATATTACCTGACGGGTGGTCTTCAATACACAGATACACTAAGCAGTATGTTTATTTGGATTTTCTGTATCTCTTGCAAAGAACCTACACTTACAAAAGGAATTTGATCAAAGATACGGTAGCACTGATTTCAATACCCATACAATGACTATTTGTGGTCATCTTTTCCTGTGCTAGCTATAGAGATTTTCATCTTTGTGGTAGAAATAGCATGTTTTTCAAAGTCACAACATATGTCTACTTCTTGAGTGTAATTTCATTCGGTATTGTACCAGTACATTGACACTCTGTATTGTTACCTGTATTTTTACCTGTATCTTTGTTATGCAGCTCTACTTATAAGTCAAACATGTGCATGTCATCTTCCAACTTAGCCATTCCAGCAATAAAGGTTCCTGTGACCATGTACACTGTTATGGGGCAGTCAGAAAAAAATATTTTTCAAATTCATTCCAATCAACTATGCAAGTTTGATGGTAAAACATGTACTAGGTTCCAAGCCATTAGATGATAAGTGAAATAAAATAGTTACAGAAAATAGGTATGGTATGGTACAAGTGAGCAAACGAAACAAACCTAAACTATATTCTACTATATTCCATTGTGCATCTTTGTCTACATGTGCATGAATGATGTTGTTTTTATCTTGCATGGTTTTATCTTGTCTTTTAACCCAGCGGCATTTTCTTATCATAGGTTACACCAATTTAATTGTTGTTTCTCGGATTCGACCTGTCCATTTTTTTCTGATTTGCAAAAAAAAAAAAAATTTTTTTTGTTCTAAATCAACTGCAAAATGCTCAATGAAAGACATATTTTGGCCCCAATGGTTGAAGAAAGTCCTTTTCTTCCTAGTTTTTCAATGTAACAATGCAATTTTGTTTCATTAAAAGTTCAAAGTCTATTGTTTTAATTATAAACCAGCCTGGTATGTTGACTTCATGGCTCATATTTTAACATTTCCAGCTATCATGGGGTGCCTTGGGCTGTTTTTTTCTTTTTATTTTGCCCTGTCGCTTCATATTTCTTCTGAAAAAATCCGAGAAACAACAGATTAAATTTGTGTGGTCTTAAGATGACTTATAGTAATGTACTATTGTCTTGGATCTGACAAATGTTCTTACAAAATATGGTAATTATATTTCACTTAGGGACGTAATAAGGATATGAATTCTGAGGGACCAAATTATGAAATAAACTCCTTTTTGTATCGTGTAACAGAAAATTTAATGACATTTTGACAATCAAGTTATTTGTTTGTTTGTTTTACTTTTCATATTGAAATAGTTCTAACAGATTTTTTAAAAATAAGACTATATGTATCACAGTTATTTCACTGAATTCCATGGTAAAACGTTAAAACAGTCTTGCACTTGTAACAGAAATATTAATTTTTTCTATAATAAGGAAGTTTTGTGTGACTGTACATTATGTCAGCAGGAGTACAACTATTTATACAAATGTATTTTTGTAAAAAGAGAGAGCCTTTTCTGACTGCTGTAAAATATGTACATATTTCAATGTCTTTGTAAATTCTGTTTTCCATTCGGTCTTTTTACGGAATGGAAGACAAAAGTTGCTGTGATGTAAGAAGAGAAATACATTATTGTGCATCTGAAAGATTTGCTTCTGTGTTTTTACTTTATTATGTTTACCGAAGGAAAACATATTGTTTTTACTCAATTTCCTCTTCTTCTTCTCCAAACACTAACCTCTGACCTGGCCAATGACATTTGTTGACGTCTGTCACCATGGTGACTGGTGTTGGGTTACATAATGTTGCAAACTTCATGGTCTGCTCTGCTGCTGTCACCATATACTAGTAGTACATGTATGTGAATATGTTTGAGTAAAAATTAACAGGGCAGACCATGGCCGAATTCGAAGGTAAACATTATGCATTTGCTTTGCAAATGTTACTTCTCTAGTTCCGAGTTGTTTTTGTTGAAAGCACTGTTGCTTTGTTTATACACAAACAAACTGGAAGACATAAGAAAAATGTCCAGACTATGCATGATGTACAAAATGACCAATAAACTGGTGGACGTCCTAACTACTAAGTACCTGATACCAGCCCAGAAGAGAACAAGAAATAGCCATGCCTTCAAGTACCAGAGTTATCAACCAAGGATTGAGGTTTCAAGAATTCATTCTTTCCTAGAACTATCGCAGAGTGGAACTCGCTGTCACCAAGTACAGTTGGGGCATTGTCATTAGATAGCTTTAAACAATGTCTAGAGTTAGATGTTCAAGGGTTAGGTGTAAGAAGTTGATTGGTGTATTGTAGCCAGCTGCCACCGCGCTGCGTGCCTGCGAAGCTGGTGTGTTACGCTGAAGGGCGGTTATACCGGCTATACAGATACAGAAGCTGGTGTGTTATACTGAATGGTGGTTATTCTGGCTATATACTCAGATACAAAATACAAACTCAATGTGTACTCAGTCACTGAAAGAGGTTTTATTACAATCACACACTAAACACACTTGACATTTAGCCAATCAAAGGAAGGTCCAAAGAATTGTACTCAAGAAACACTAGATTTTTGTATTAAGTTTTGTATTTATTGTCAATGTAACAAATCATTACAGCACAGGTATGCACTTAGCTGGTAATGGCTGACTGACCCACAAAAAGTATGGACGTAATACAAGAAAACAAACAAAATGAAATGGGAAAATTTCCGACAATCATACAGTGAACACACTGGGTACTTATAGTCTCCACCAAAGTAACAATGCGGGTTTAAAAATACCGGGTAGTAAAATGTATCCAAATAGGGAAAATAATTGGCCTACAGTGAAATTTAGGTGCTGTGGAGTTAAAAATTTTAAAAAGAAAACAAACATCTGCATGTTTCTAATATTCAATCACATTCTTTTGGCAGGTACAATATTCTGTTTTTATAATAGATGAAACTATGCTTTAGGGCTAAGATACATTTCAAAATTATTATATTTTTATCCATTTTAGCTCATGCTATGATTCAGAAATAGCATTGAAAGTAAGCTACATGCGAGTGTGTGTAGTGTCATGGTTCATACAAGAATGCAAAAATGCAACATAGGACAGGCGCCTTGATTCGTGTTCTAAACGCACATTATGCATCTCCAGATCTTCTATCATTTTAACAAAGGCAATTCCTTTACCGTAACACCAGAATAACATGATAAAAATGCTGTCAAACTTTGTGTACAGTCGCCCCTAGCAACCTGCCGTCACGTGACCTGCCCAACAACCAGCCTTCCAAGATGGCTGCCGCTCTGGCTTGCAGACGATGTTACCAAACCTGACCTAAAAAAACACCAAAATAACCAGAAAATCTCCCAAGAACTTCCAGCTTGCAGACTTCACAGGCTAAGCAGGTATGTGCATAAGAATCTCTGCTCATCCTTACCGATAAATACGACAATTTGACGGCAATACTTACACTGGAATTTTGGACAACTTCGTGGGAAACTTTTTTGGACCACCTCAAATCTTACGGTCCACTGAAAAAGAAGGCAATGTTTATATACGCTGCTTCCTTTTTATGTCGCACCATGGACTGTTCTTTAGTCGATTTTTCTAGATTATCCTCTATTACTTGAAGTGATCAGTCGGTATCCAATGTCTTGACATGTGTTTTTGCGTGACCCCAAGGGAAAAGGCATTGTCGGAGCCAAGTGTCCGGTTACAAAGCTACCATGTTCAACAAGCTAATTTTCCTCAGTCTCGGTGTTTTGTTTCCAAGTCGATTCTTTCAATAATTGGATCCGTTTTAACCGATTCCTACCGCGATTGTGGCACGCAAACAAATCTGGAGAGATTTGTAAACAATATCTTGGGGTGGTTTGAGTGAATAGAAGATTTTACGCAGATTTCTAGAGCCATGGTTACGACAATGCCGGATGTTTTGTGTTGTTGGACCGTGTTGTATTCCAAAACATGCTGTTCCAATTACCAGTAGTGTGCCATGATGGCATGTTTTGGGATGGCACGTTTTGGAATTCCCAGCTGTAACGTTTTGGAATTCCTATATAACGTTAAATCAAACATATTTCCTCTTCTCTATATTAGACTGACGTTTATAGAACTTAAAGGCAATTTGCCATCCCTTAGGCCACACCAATTTAATTTCTTGGTTAACGGATTCTTCTAGGAAAATAATGGAGCGGGCGGGCGAAAAAAAATAAATAATAAAAACAGGCCTAGGCATCCTATTATGGCCCATGAAGTCAACACACCAGGCTGGTTCAAAATTAAAACAATGAATTTTGAACTTTTAATAATACCACTGCATTGAAAGATGGAATAAATGTAACAAGTAGTAAGAAAAGGACTGTTTTCAACTGTTCAGGGAAAAATATGAGCATTTTGCAGTTGATTCTGAATTTTTATTTTTATTTGCAAATCAGAAAAAAATGAAGCGGCGAATCCGTTAACCAAGAAATTAAATTGGTGTGGCCTTACCATTGTTGTGCAATAAATTTTGATGTGATTTTTACAACTATAAAGTTATTTGCCAGGGCAAATGTTTTTGAATTGGAGCAGTACTTTTTATTTTCATAGTGCGTATTTAGTGATTGCATATATGTCATGTTTTGGAACATACTGTTTTGGAAATAATTGCAACAATTTATTTTATACTGTTTGATATTCATAGTGTTCCTTGGGTGCAGAAACACGCACTCCTTCCTGTACAAAGAAACAAAACAAAAATTGCTGTCACAACAGGCTCGTCACAAACATTACGAAATGATTGAAATACCATTTTTGTTGTGTGTATAGATTAATACCTTCTGCTATGAAGAGTATGATATAGGCCTCAATACCACTACATGTAGCTAAGGGTAAAATTGTCCGGATAGAGTGGAATTGATTCGCTTTGATCCAGCTTGAAGCCGTCTGGAAGCTCTATCCGGACAATTTTACCCTTACTTAGCTTAAGTCACCAGGGAATAGGGCCATACTATTAATTCCATGTTTTCTGTACACCTAATAATCATGTGTGATTCATTATACTATGTACCATTGTTCAAGGGACTCAGGAATAAGGTATTTCCTGTGATGCATGAATGGGCATACATGTATGTATTATTAAATAAACAGACAGGTACAATGCACAATGTTTACATAACACCTGTTACATTGTAGAACTGATTGACTCTGAGCTTTCTGCTATTGTTTGTTGATATTACCTGGTTTGCACCTGTTTCCGAAGTAGTAATTATGGAAATTGGAAGGAAAATGATGTAGCTCAAAGGGAAATGTAAAAAAACATACAAAAATGAAATGTACTTGCAAGGAAAATTATGATATTGTTGCTCATAATTTTTTTTACCTCTGAATTGACTTGGAAAATAAATTATTATTTGAAAGACACAAATGTCATTTAAACTAAAACCTTGTATCTATGATACTGTGCCCTAGATACAATGTCAATGAAAATACTATCCAAGCAGAGGTTGGTGGGTAAGATTGTAACCTTTCTAATATGTATGCCCCCTTACTTCTGTTGCTACCCCCACCAGCTCAAGAAAAGGGCATATTTATTAATTTAGAAAGGTCACAATCTTCCCCACCAACCTCTGCTTGGAGAGTAGCTGAACACCCATTGCCCCTGCCGCCTCAAAAAGGCTATGAGACCTTTACCTTTTTGGCAATGCCTCAGGAGTGGTGCCTTTTTAATTTTTTTCTTATACTTGACAGTGTACAGTATGGAGCTAGGGATGGCACACATGTACACCCATGACATGGGCGACACCCCCGCACAACTGGTCCTGGACAAGATGGCACAGGCCAAGGCACGCAGACGGGAGGAAGAAATGAAGGAGGAGCTAAACAAAATCAAGATCAGGGTGGAGAATGTAAGATTTAGTGAGACAGTTTTTACTTAGTAAAAGAGAATCGAGTCAGACTCTAAGAACTAGAAAGGTAACATTTGCAAAGCAACTGTTTCCTTCTGCAAACTTTAAGGTAAAGTTAACATAACAATCAGATTGAGTAGCTCATTTTACTTGACTGAATTATTTGCATGTAACATTTACAAGTTTCCTTTGAATCACAAGTTCTTGATTTCATTTCTTCTAGACCATTGGTTCATTTGAGATGCAACAGAAATGGTTGGCTGACCAAGGTTTCACCAACATGGAGTTCTTCGATGACCTGGTATGATTTGATACATTTCAAACTTCTCTTTCTTTTTATCTTTATTTCATTCACATTTTCATTTCTGAGGGAAAGGAGTCCACTGGTAGTGATGTGTGTTTAACTCCCATACTCTTTTCCAAATTCTGAGTGCTAAGCAGAGATAGGAGTATATATGTACAGTACCAAGTCTTTGGTATGACTCAGCCGGGGATCGAACTCATGACCTATTGAATGCTATACCCACGTGGCCATTGCACTGGTATCAACATGATTGTATACCCTGATATTTTTCATACCTATTCATTCAGCTTACCTGACTGTTTCCAGGCCTTATACCGTGCCCTATACACCATGGATTAACAACCCACCGCCCTAAGGCCTCAAAAAGGCTACGGGACTAGCTTTAGCTTTTTTACATTCAGATTTTGTGCTAGCATGGAATACAATGAAAATCAAACTGTTCTACAACTCAGGACACGAAAATAATTCACCAGAAATTTTCGATCGAATTGCGCAGTCACGTGTCCACAACACTCTGGTCATAAAGCTGAAGACTGAGCAATTCAGTTGTCAATGATCATTTTTGGTGAGTTATTTTTGTGTCTTGATTGGAGAACAGTTTGATTTTCATTACAGTATGTATTTTACCAACTCAGATGAACTTTCATGCTAGTGTGGACCGTTTCTGTTCCCAGGCTCAGTTGGAGGCAATCATCTCAGACTCTGTCCAGAAGAAGAAGTACCAGCATCAGGTGACTGTGTTCATCGTGGGGTATGAGCAGGCCTCCATGGAGAGACTTCAGCTGCTGGTACAGCTCAACGAGGTAAGACCTTGGGAAAAAAATGTTTTTAGTTAAAGGATGGACCCTAGCAAACCTTAAGGAGCTACAGTGGCATGTATCCTCTACCAGGCACTGCGGATTGCTGGAAAAATAGTAGAAATTGGCCAAAATAAGAGGAATAGTATACCAGGGGAGTTAGCCAGCCAGAAAGGGTCCAATATGCGACCTGTGTTCTACTATTTTTCTAGCAATCCGCGGTGCCTGGTAGAAGCTAAGGGGCGTGCTCCCCTGGAAAATTTGAAATCTTGACTACCATAGGTATACGTATTTCCTGCATTTGAGGAGACTAAGCTTAGTTTAATGATAATCATCTCTGTCTATATTGTTACGCACGGATTTTTGTTCGTCACAAGCGGTAAAATTCTGTCAAATGATGAAAAGACGGACGCTGACTAGAGCACTAGTCCGGGGTTTTGCAAGGCAACAGAACCAAGTCTTAGAGCAACAGTTACGAACATGTCATAAAAAGTAGTACATTGCATTACCAATGTCAGGCTGGTTGAGCAATTGTTGTTTTTGTCATCTGATGCCTTAGGCAACAGTTATTAGACTTCTTATCTGGCACATGGTCCCTGTCGTTTTGACAACCATTCCCATATAATGTATATGTTGACTCTTACAGTTCTTTGTGGTGAACTCTGCTACCAAAGAAGAGGACGTGTTCCCCATGTCCCCTGACATAGACCTGGATGACGTGGCAGACAGCGTGCGATCTGCACTCGACACCGCTGAGAAGGCCGTACTACGACTTGGACAGCTCAACCACGACCTGGTGGCATTCGTGGGGACACACATCTCAGCTAAGGACTCAAAAACGTAAATAATCCTTGCATTTGTGTAGCTACTGCAGTTTGTATACACCTTGCTAGGTGGCATAGTTGACTCTGGTTACCATAAAGATTTTGTAGCGTTGGTGGGGACACACATTTCAGCTAAGGACTCCAAAACGTACATGTAACTAATCCTTGCATTTGTGTAGCTACTGCAGTTTGTATACACCTTGCTAGGTGGCATAATTGACTCTGGTTACCATAAAGATTTTGTAGCGTTCGTGGGGACACACATTTCAGCTAAGAAAAACAAAACTTTGCATTTGTGACACTCGTTTAGCTACAGCATTTGCTAGGTGGCATTGGCATTAGCTGGTGCATCACACCGAAGGGCGGTTATACTGGTTATACAGATGCAGATACAGATTTCTCTGGTTACAAAAATATTTTTAATGTTTCTTGGGACCCACATTTCTGTAAGGACTCCAAAATGTAAAATTTAATAAACTCTGCATTTTTGACACTCGTTTAGGCTACTGCAGTTGGTATGCATTTTGCTAGGTGGCATTGTTGACTCTGGTCACAATAAAGATTTTGTAGCGTTTGTTGGGACCCATATTTCAGCTTAGGACTCCAAGACGTAAATACACTTGACACTTATTACCTCCGGGGGAGGAGACATCCTTCCGCGGAAGGGTTTTGTGAGAGATTTAGATTTTCATGTTCCCAGCTGTTTCTCGCGTTTGGGTGGACGGATTCTTTTGAGACTCGGTACATGTTTTGCTATTGGGCTGCAGATAATGCACATTCTTTTGCTTTTATTGTATATTATGTGTTTTTGGGCGTGAAAATGGTGCATTTTGGTGGCCCCAGAACACCTCTTTGAGCGTGAAAGTGGTCGCGACCGTTGACCTTCGGCGTGTATTAGGTATTGGTGACCCCTCGCACAGAGGGGTGTCCGGTCTCGATAAATTCTTTGTTTAAAACCCTAGTCCTGCGATGCGCAACAATTGTTGTTGTAAACAACATATAAAAATACATGTATACAATAAAAAGCCCGGAGGTATAAAATCTCAGATTTTACTTGTTTAGGCACTGCAGTTTGTGTACATTTTGCCAGGTGGCGTTGTTGACACTGGTTACCTTTCCCTGTGTGTGTTACAGAAAGAGTAAGAAGAAGCTGGAGAAAGCTTTGAACCAGGCAAAGGATGACGTCCTACAACTTACCGAAAAGTTGATGAACGCCCAGGCTGGTACGCACAAATTTACCTTTATCTAATAACCTTTATTATATTCAAATGAAAAAATTCATCTATAGCAGTAATTGACATAAGTTTGTAAAGATTTTATAGGCTATTTCTGTTAAAGCGCTTACCAAAAAATATAGACTTGGGGTCATTTGAACTTGAGAAGAAAAAGAGGACTGATGAAAACCTTCTTTGCAGTCATAAGTTGGAACAGTATGTTGCCAATTTAGGGTAAGAAATGGGAAAATTTGATTTAGTGTTTTCACAACTTGACGCACACTTTTTTCTTTGTCACCAGAAATCAAAGAAAAGGAAGAGAAGATCACATCTATGTTCAAACAGATGGAGCTGAAAACTATTGAGCTGCAGAGGTACAAGTCTGCTGCAGATCTGGGCAAGGTACAGACATTTAATATTTATCTTAAGTGCTGTGGAAATGTATAGAAAATAACCCGATAGGCCACATTTGTGAGCGACTGCAGCATATTTCATGCCCCCGTAAATAATTTCATCAGGTTGGAAGATACTTAGGGTATAGAATTTTCTTCTTACACAACCAGTAAGGTTCTCACCTGCTTACGTTTCGATGTCTATCAGACACCTTCCTCAGAGCTTCTGACTGGAGTTCTGCAACTCGCCGCTATTTAACGCCAATGTAGGTGGCCCTTCATGTAGGTAGAACTCCAGTCAGAAGCTCTGAGGAAGGTGTCTGATAGACATCGAAACGTAAGCAGGTGAGAACCTTACTGGTTGTGTAAGAAGAAAATTCTATACCCCATATTTCATGCCATCTCCTTCCCCTTGCAAAAATGGACTGTTCCAGATCAAACTTGCGGAAAGATACATTTGTTCCAAAGTTACTTCTGCCACATATAAGAAGATGAGGAGGGACATCAGGAAAAACAATATATTACAAAATATTACGGTAGAAAATCTAACTGTTACAGTATAATGGCCACATTTGTGAGCAACTACAGCATATCTCACACCATCTCCTTCCCCTGGCAAAAATGGACTGTTCCAGATCAAACTTGCATAAAGGTACATTTGCTCCAAATTTACTTCTGCCCAGATATAAGAAGAAGATGAAGAGGAACAACAATATATTTCAGTGCTAAACCTTTAAGAGTTGCACGGTCGAAAATTTGGGTAAGTCCAATTTGTTGTGTTGGAAATTTGTAACCCATAAGACTTGTAACCCATAAGACTTCAAGTTGATGAAATTAATTGTTATTTGTCCGTTAGAAAAATGCGGAGAAAGTTGCAGAGGTGGAAACGGAGCTCGCTGTGAAGGACGGAGAACTGAAGCAGCTCAGGTCAAAGGTCGATGAACTCCAGGTCATGTTGGAGCAGGCCGAGGCCGCCAAGGAGAACGCACAGACGAAAAACCGCGACTTCACCAAGGAAAATGAGGTCAGAAAAACTAAACGAAAGAAAAGAAAAAGGAGAAGAGTGTGGTTTCTCAAAAGAAAAAGTGTGACTTCAAAAAAATTAAAGAGAAAATTTACCTGTGACATTGTATACAGTCATACGAAGGGTTTTAAGAGTTGAGATTCATTTATCTTTAATAACAATTTTTTGGAAAACATTACAATACATTAACACTTGCTTTCAGGCAGTATAGCTGATTTTAGAAAGTTAACAATTATGGACAAAATACAATTAGTTAAGTAGTTGAAATTATTCTCTAAATAACTTTTGATTTAGACTCCAGACTAAAAATTTGATTTGTCTTTTTTGTGTGATGATGTTTATCCAGGACCTAATTAATGACCTACAGTCCAAGCTGAACCTTGAGTCCTACAAAATGGAAGATGCCATTGAAGGTAAGTTGGTCATGTACTAGGTAAATAAAGGATTGCTCAAATCTTAGTCAGTTTTGAAATGTTTCTGGTGATTTTATTTTCACAGTCTGACCAATGAACAAGGTATACTTCTGTCAAAACAAACTAAACACTATGAAACCTCTTTCTCTATTATCTAATTTGAAATAATTTGTAATTATGAAATTTGTAGAGCAATCTTTCGAATCCTTGGTTACTCAGTGGTTGAAGTCATTTTTCAATGTGCTCTGGGAGGACTACAAAAGAAACTAAGCTGTTCAATGTTGCATTTAGTTTTTTTTTAGCATTTAGTGACAAACATTGCTCGCTTTTATTTAAATTTTTCCCCTATGGCTTACAGAACTGAAGGCTCAGTACAAGGAACAGATCACAGATCTTAAGTCTAAACACAAAGACGAGATCACACAGCTGAACGATTCTCACATGGAGGAACTCAAGAATTTCCTGGTCAGTGTCTTACTAGTACTTATTTTCTTGTTATGTTTGTTTTTGTTTTGAATTAAAGATGTAATGCACCGGGTCCAGTTTTGTACAGGCTATGTAAGACTGGACTCTAAGGTTTGATCTACACACACTAGGAAGGACCCCTGCTCTTTTTTTGTGTGGTCTTTTTTGTGTTTTTTTAACTGGTCAAGGTGTGGCTCTCCTCAAACACAGGACCTCCGACATTTTCGCCAGAATCTAGTGAGAAAATAGGGCCTTTCCTAAGGGTACAACTTAAAAGTTTGTAACCTGCTTGGTATTTGAACCCAGAACCTTTTAAGTCAACAGCATCAAGGCCACCATGCTACTAGTAGTATGGAATCAAAAATATGACTGTCACGTGTGCATGACTTGTATATCATTATCCATTTTCACAAGTTTTCATATATCACAGTAATTTTCAAATAATATTGACAAGCATGTTTTTTTTTAAATGTTGTACTGTGTCTTACACAGTATGGATTGCCTTACTTTGAGTGTTTGGTCGAAGAAGACTTTAGAATACAAACATTGCATTTTTTGCATTTTGTAACCCGCCTTATATTGTACCAGTCAAGGCCAGTCACATTTGTGTACTATTGTACAATCACAAACTGAGAGCATTCTTGGAATTCAGCTGCCTTGTTATGGAAAAGGTTGTCTTAGATACTTGCCAATGGTTGGTTCTCTCACAACTTGCTTAAACATTCTACAGCGTCAGAATCGCACATCGGCACAATGTACTGCACCTGCGCGAAACCTATTGTTCATACATGTAGCACTTTGGCAGAATGTCTCATATAAGTATTCATGCATATAAGGTTAACATCCCATCTGAAGTTTCCAAATGTTGTGTCAGAAAAAATATCTTATGCAACAGGCAAAAATTCTGATGCCACTTTGACCAAAAATCCAATGAAAACCGTACGAAAATCGGGGTTTTCGTACAAGTGCAGTACGTTCTGCCGACATGCTGTCAGAATCCTACCACGAATATGCCCGAGACACCATCACTACCCCACCACATCACTCCACAATAGGCCATGTCTCCGCTCCATAGAGACCAGGCCAATCCTCGGAGTCCCTTTCTACACTGTGTACTCAAGCCAAACTATTGTTTGCCAGAGGATTAGCCCAGTTTAAGCCCATGAACCATAGATCCCCAGGATTTTCTGTACAGCAATGGCACATTTTTACTAATTGAGCCGAGCAAAGGTGACAGCACCAGTTGTTCTACCAGTAAAGTCGTGAATTTGTTGACAGAGTTGTCAGGGCAAGGATGTAAAATGTTAGACAGCTTAACCTATACTACAGTGGGGGGTTAGATGTATTTGAGTCTGTGGTCCATAAAGGGGCCTGCATGCCCTTTTCCGTAGAGCATAATAAGCCGTTTTAATTCTACGTCGAGCGTAGACGGACCGCTTTAATTCGTAAAGTGTAGTTGGCGCATTTTGCGTAGATCGTAATTCCCCATTTTATGCGTTGTAGCTACCCGGAATTTATCGTAAAGCGTAATTTTGGAGGCCTCTTGAATTCAGCGTAATACGCAGTAACCGGCTCTCAAATTTAGCGTAGAACATTGTCAGGACCCCCCCATGCAGGCCCTCTCATATTCACTCTCTGACCAAAAGTTGGACAGAAAATGTCTTGTTACAGTTTGATTTACCGTTGTTTGAAGTTTCCCACCATAAGGCAGTTCAGAACTCCTCAAACCTATGATTTAGAAGTGGATTCAAAATACTAAATCTAGAGCAACTTATATAATTTGATGATGAAATCGTATTAAAAGTTGGAAATTGGTACAATGATACAAAACATGTTTTATCCAAACCCAAATCCAAATCCCTTGGATTTTGAATCTGAATTGAAGTTTTTTTCTTGTTAATCTATTATATAAATTGCTATCTTAATCGACGACAGTACCTGTATGACATTGTGATAAAATTTCACACCACAATCTTTTCAACAAAGTCTGACTTTTCAAAAGAGACCATAAAAAATCTATGAACTTAAGGCACAGATTGGTAAATAGCACGTACTCAACTGTCAGATAACATACATGAATGTAAGAATCATTTACCTTAAGTTTCCTCAGTCACGATATTCCGTTGTCTCCCAAGCTTTCTTCACAACCGAACATAGAATTTGACAATGGATTGTCATAATAAACATCATACGCTGCGTACTACATTACAATGAATTGTTTTCTGCAAATATCCATCAAATCCCACAATAAAAGTGACACGCGAGTTATTAATTGCATTTTCATAGCTTGACACATTAGTATTTGATGACTCCCGCCACAAAAGCGTTTGTTGCACCCCGTGGACTCATTAATTTCCGTCTACGTTGGGAACTGTTGGTTGACTAAAAGGGCACGGCCATCAGTTACGTGTTTACCTCTACTCCTGACACTCGTCATTATTTCTAAATGGGTCCGGAACGGTTTTACTGGGTAGTGCTTTTATTCGCAACCCTAGCAACGGGACATGGTCCTCAGGGTTAAGGCCGTTTGGTGGTTGTTTGCGAGAAAAAGCGTTACATTATGTGGTACGCTTTTTTCCCATATGGCGGCATCTGTTTTGAGAGTGAGTGAGTGAGGGAAGGTGTTGGGGAGACAGGAATGGCGGTACAAATTATCCGAAGGTGTGAGGTAAGGCAGATATGTTATTTGTCATTCTCAGACACTGTATTCTTCTGAGACTTAAAGTAGGGCTCGAAATTCATATTTTTTGGGAATAGGTGCACTGGTGCACCCAACCTAAAAATTAGGTGCACAAAAAAATTTGGGTGCACCATACAAAACAAAACCTAATAAAATCTTACTGCTCCTCTTCTGAGCTTGAATCGGAGCTAACTTCAAAGTACTACTGTAACAACAAAGATTTTATCATTTTTTGACCCTTAGATGCCGAGAATATCCTGTATACTATTATACATTTAATATGTGCAAAAAAATACCTACCAAAATATTTGGGTGCACCCACAGAAAAAAATTGGGTGCACAGCTCCAATTTTGGGTGCACTTAAGTGCACATGCACCCAGTATTTCGAGCCCTGCAGTGTTAAAGAAATTCACAACAACACTTGATTCTTCTTAGCTTCAAGTGTAAAATACACTTTACTCCTTGTAGGTAAATAAACATGTTTAAAGAAAGTGAAATTTGACCAACAGTTTTTTAGATAAGCCTGGAAAAGTCATTGCATAATCAGTTAGATACAAAACAAGCATTATCATATTAGATCCAAGTCTCCAATAGATTTTATAAAAAAATTCCTATGTAACAGACATTTAAAGCTACAACATGAAATTACTTTCTACAACACTACAATGCCTTTTAAAGGCTACAACACAAAGGAATACTCTGCCCTGTCCTGGTCAGATAAAACACTAGGTAGCTAAATATAGTATTTCTAAGGTAGGTACTTACTGTCTTTGCATGAGCAGTCACTGATAAAAAGTAAAATATTTGATCAACGTCTTCAAAAGAGTCATAGAAAATTTCTATGTACTAGTAACAAATACGCTACTAGTAGACATTCAAAGCTACAACAGAAATGCACTTTCTACGTATACTAGTAGTACATGACGTGCATTGTGTCTTGTATACATTACTGTATATACCTGATAAAAGTAAAAATATTTGATCAAAGTCTTCAAAACAGTCATTAAAAAATTCCATGTAACACGTACACTTCTAATAGTAGACATTCAAAGCTACAACATCAATGAACTTCCTACTACAATTTGTGTTGTATACATTGCTGTTTAGTAGCAGTTCGCTTGTTTGACCTGATAAAAGTGAAAATATTTTATCAAAGTCTTCAAAACAGTCATTAAAAAATTCCTATGTAACAGGTACACTTCTAGTAGACATTCAAGCTACAACATGAAATTCAATGTACTTTCTACTACATACAATGTGTCTTGTATACATTTACTGTAGCAGGTTGCTTGCTTGACCTGTTACGCATGTCTTACCTGTGCCCCTTGTTCACCAATCATGCATATCAAATAGTTTATACCACGGCCGGGCCGTATTGTTACCTTTCCTACCCCCCACAGATCAAAAATACCTGGTCCAACCAGTTCTCAAAATTCCCGTGTGTTTACATACTTTGCAAAACGTTTAGTAGGCTGTATCTAATACATGCATGCGGGTTGTCCAAATGTTTTCCTCAGAAAATGTCCTCTAACATGTTGAGTAAATCTTCCAAGTCTTTGTTTGTGTCTCGAGACAAAAGAACTGTATGAAAGACCTAGTCTTAAACCCAATCCGACTGGTTACTAGGAAGGTGATATGCTCTTAGCAACCAGCAAGCTTGGATTTCTGACCCCCTAAAAGAACTGTAAGCTAGCTGCCATCGGAATGGAGTAAGGACCCACGGATTACTCTAAGCATGATCTTGTAGATTTCTTGAGATTAACTGAAGATTCCTTCAAGGAAGAGGTGGTTGTCTTAGAGATTATGGCAACTGTGGTCCAACCAGTGGATTTGAGACTTCTCATTGGAAAGGTAAGGTTGGCTATGATACAATGTTGCACCTGTTCTAAACACCTATGACTATGTAGGAGCAGTCCAAAATACAAAGTACATTGTACAGTCTGAAAGAACATTCAAGCTTAAAATAGTTTTTGTTTGAACTTTTGTCTATTGGAATCTTTTTGGCAAAAATTCACTGTTTTAACGACACCACTTGAGTTATTCAGTGTACATTAACATTTTGATACAAAATGAAGCATAGGAAAACAAGGAACAATCAAATAAAAATTATATGTTGTGTATCTTTTAATTTCAGGATTTATGTTTAGTAGTCTATGTTTGGAACTTTTGTCTACTGGAATCTTTTTGGCAAAAATTCACTGTTATTTAACAACACCACTTGAGCCATTCAGTGTACAAACATTTGATACAAAATGAAGCATAGGAAAACAAGGAACAATTATCTCTGATATATGTTGTGTATTTTTATTTTTGTTTGGTGACAAAGTTATAAGTTTATTTGTTTTTGGTAACTTCAATATTTTTTACCAAAAACTCAGACCCTGTCTTCTTCCTCGTGATCTGAACGAAAAGTGGCCAGTAGGCAGGTCACGAATAAACAAAGGTTTAAACAAACAAACAAACAAATGACACACTAGTTCCAGCCTCCATTACTATATTATGGCACCAATTGAATGCAAACTTTAAAAAGATTATTTCTTGTATTTCGCTATGACTTGGTTGGTGTATCTGAATGTTTGTCTTGGTTGAATCGAGGTGTGATAGTTTGTACAATGATGAAAGTAGACAACATGACAACAATTATCCAAACCAGTAATGACGGGAAAAGAGATACAATTGTGATGATCCAATTAATAGCTGCTACAAATGACTTTTCATTTATTAGAGGGTTTGCATGGGGGGGATCTTGGCAACTCTTTACAGTAAATTTAGGAGGTACTGGCAACACTTGGCGATAAATTCAGGAAGGATGGCAATGCTTCAAATAATTAATTTGGATTTTTGTTTTGTATCAATTGTAGTCTGCCACCCTATGTGGGACTTTAACTTTTAACTAGTATATTTTAAACTGTAGAGCAGTTTTGGAGACAGAGAAAGAGTCAGTATCTACCTGCTATATCTACACCTGTGTTTGACGTATTTGTTAGTGTATGTGACACTAATTATACACTTAGTACTGACAGCTGTTCATGGTGTACAATAGACCATATATGTCGATCCTTCTTTCCTTGGAGTATCCCAGTAGCGTGCGTAGTCCAGTGGTTACGCGATCCTGGCCAGCTTCTGGACCAAGAGGTTAGGAGTTCGAATCCCAGCTGTTATCGCTCAGAATTTCTGGTATGAATGGCCATTTTCAATGTACGCTCGGTGATCAAACTGAAAGGGAATTATATCTTTAATAAGGGCCGTAGGGACAGTAGGTTGTTAATCCACTGTGTCTTGAGCACAGTATTGGAAGGCAGAGCCCATCCCTTTCCTTCAACTGCCTTTTACCTCCCAACCAAAGTCAGGCTCCCATTTTACACCTGGATAGAGTGAGGAAAGTCGTGTACTGTGCCTTTTCCAAGGACACACCGTCTAGTCAGAAATACCTGACCACTCTGCCATTCAACACCACTGAAAGAAAGTGTACAAATGACCACAAGCGCTAACTTGGACAGTTTAGCAACAAACTTTACTGACTCTTATGGCCTATCTGTATCAGTATAACCGGTATAACTGCCCTTCGGCGTAAACACATGTACACCAACTTCGCAGTCACACGGCACGGCGGCAGCTAGCTACTAGTATGTTACACCAAACGACTTGTTACACTCAATCTTTACACATTTCATTGCAGAAGTAGTTTGAAGCTTTCTAAGTGATGATGCCCCAACTGTACTTGGTGGCAACGAGTTCCAGTCTACGATCATAGTTCTTGGGAAATACAAGTTTTTGAACACCTCAATTCTTGGTTGATAGCTCTGAAATTTGAAGGCATGATAATCATTGTTTCTTGTTCTTTTCTGGGCTGGTATCAAAGTATATTACAAAATAATGACCACACTTAGCCCTACAAGCGCTAACTTGGACTGTTTAGCGACAAACTTAACCGGCTCACATGGCCTAAATTGTGACCTTTGCCGCATTATTTTTCAGGGGAAGGATGCTGACCAGTACTTGGGGTCGACTGATGGGGACATCCGAGAATGGGCTTCGTCTAGCGAGGACGAACGCAGCTTTCCCACAAAAGCACGCAACAAGGTCAGTATGGAGAAAGAAATTGTAGAAAAAGACAAAATCTTTGCAAGCAAAATTTAAGGTACTGTAACATCTAAGTCTTGCAAGACTTAGATGTTACAGTACCTTAAATTTTAAGGTTGAAACAGTGAACGTAGCTTTCCCACAAAAGCACGCAACAATGTCTAGCTGCTATGGAAAAAGACAAAATCTTCTTTTTTTTAAATTTATTCAACCAAAGAAAAGAACAAAAGAAAAAAGACAAAATCTTTGCAAACAAGATGTATCTTTGAAACAGACTGTATTTTTAGGTGACTCCAGTAATCATCATCATCGGTCGGCTGCTTTTACTCGTTCCAGCCACTTCTCAAGCCTGGTAGAGGCTAGTAAATTTTACAGTCTCTATTGTCAAGAAAGACATGACTGAGCTATTGTTTCACTTTGTCTCTAAGTTAAAGCAACAGCTTCTTGTTCAAATAGTTCAGGACTGTAGACTGTCTTGGATAAACCTGGAGCAAGAACAAATTACACTCTCAACTGAATTACAATGACAAGGTGGTCAAACGTAGCTACAAATGTATTTAGGTCCTAAGCATTAACTAAAAGGCATGTTTTCATAACAGATAAATTGAATTGACCCCGTTTTTTTCCTTGCTCATGTTTTGACAGTGTTTGAGCGAACAATACGCTAGCATAATGTTACTGCTACAGGTAACACTAGATATGGCCAAAGTAAACAATGGTAAGTCTGTCAGCTTTACCAGGACTGAAACATTGTTAGATGATGAAAGGAGGAACCATCTTTGAACAAGGAAAGTGAGTGAATATAGATGAGAAAAAAAAACAACTCCCAAAGCTTTTGAACAAAAATTAAAAGAAATTGGTCGACCATGTCTGAAATCAACCATAAGAAAAAACTCTTCTTTTTCATCATGATTTTTCTGCAAGATGATCAACTTAATAATTATACCAACAACAAAGAACAGGCCTTTCTTTCAGACACAACAGGTGTCACAAGTCAGAATATACCCCTTGCCAGAATGTACCCGGGTATACATTCTGCCAGGGGTATTTTCCTGCCTGCTACACTGACATGATTGTATTTGAAGTTGCAGGCAGTCCTTAGCTAGATTTTCATGGCAGCCAAACCTAGTATGCGAAAAAAAATGAATATAAATTTTTAGTTTATACAATGCGTATGTCAACATGCTGTTTTGTGTTGGGAAAGGGTCAAGAAACCAGCCTTTCTAAGATGAAAGAGTTTTCAGGTAATACTTTTGAAATATAGTTTTGGCAATAAATTATGCAAAGTGGTAGCTAGGTTACATCATTCACACCTCTTTCAATCACAAAAGGGAAAACTTTTGGGAAACTACAAAATTATAACAAACAATTCTGATCAGTTGTCTTACAGTAACTGCAACAGTACTGCATTTTATATTTAATATTCATGCTAGAAATTGTGAAATATACTTGGTCTATTCTTTACATCTTGTAACTGTACCTGAAAAAGAAGTTGAGTTCTCTGACAGACACACATGTACACGTATATCCCACCGTGGGGTACACATGCGGTGTGTGTTTGCCTAAAGTCAGCAAACACCGGCTTTGTGCGGCCTGACACACACGATAACCTCGTCAGTACAGCTTACACGGTTACGGTAAACACACCCGAGTGTCGTTTTATAAACTTCCCCCGTGGTCGCTTAACTCAGTCTACAGACAAAAGTAGAGACTAAAGACGAAACATCTATGAGACTAGAGGTAAGATATCTCTCATCTTGACTGCGTTTCACTTTGATAATCTTGTTCTAAATTGTTTGTTACACTGAACAATAAGATACAAAAGACCTGCTAAAAGTATGGTAATCTACATGTACATTTTGTATACCATGCCATGGGTATATTGCTTTGATACATACCATTAAGGCCTAATGACTTTGTTTATTGTTTATTGTTTTATAACATTAAACCATCTGTCGTTCTAAGAACTCAGATCAAGAGTTGTTTCAAGACTTAACTAATAAAATAAGCTTTCAACGGATAAGTTTTTATGCTGAATTGTGGCCCTGTCACTACTTAACAAGGAAAAACGTTTAATTAATTTTGTTCAAAGGATATTAAATTTCCTTATGATAGGTCTTGCTATGGAACTATACACTCTTGCAGTGCTCCTATTTTAAATCAAAGTTTTCTGTCCAAAATCTTCACACAGTAGTACATGTACACAGTGTATGAAAGAGAGGGCAAAGTTTGCCTGTTGAGTACTGTTTTTAAGAACACATGCCAAAATCCGAACAATGTTCCTTTCTGTAACTGTATATCCAAGGAACGTTAGTCTAACAAGTGTTTTGAAGGTTACCAAGATTTTCAAAATGTTTTCTTCAACCATTTCAAACAAGTATGCATGGTTGTTAAGAGTTTTGCCAGCTGTTTGTAGTAAATTTAAAGCTAGTTTGTGTTGGTATTCAGCAAACATAGAAACCACACGTCTTGTACAGAAACTTTCCACCAGTATTGGAATGTTATACAAAATAAGTCACGTATAAAGCTCTTGGGGAGGGGACTCAGTAAATCTAAAGCTGTAGTCATAAAGTGAGGAAAAATTTTCACAATTATGCCTTCCAAGATCTGCTTGAAAATTGCTGACTTTCTCAGTGTAACTGTTTTGAAAGTTGTTGGCCCAGGATAATTAGTTTGCTTTAAGGATATCCTGGATTACTGTGTTGATAGTGATTTAAGTCTGTATATACCACCTGCCTATAATCAAAAGAACTTTGCCTTTACCAAAACTGTTGCCTGGTAAATTGTGTATTGCCAGAGGTTTAGGATAATTCCTTTACAGATAGAATTTCCATTTTATTAACTAAAGATTATGATTATGAAAAAATTAAAAGAAAATGATCTAAATCCAGTTTTAGCTCGCTGAAGAGCTTCGTCTTTCCCAAAATGTTGCCTGGTATTAGTGGTAAGTTGTATATTGCCAGAGTTTTAGGATTATATTCATAATTCTTTTACAGATAGAATTTTCATATTATTAAGATATGATTATGAAGAAATTAAAGGAAAATGATCTAAATCCAGTTTTAGCTCGCTGAAGAGCTAATCTTCCACTGGTCGTGACAGAGAAGACAGACGCTATGTACAGTATTTACAGGTTCATTGTACCGGGGAAATTCCCCTAGCTTATTTCAACAAACACAAGGAAAGTGTCTTAACGTCCTATACAGTTCCATACAGTCACATGTATGTTGGGTGAGTGGGATTTGAACCCCCAACCTCTTGATCCCGAATCAGGGTTGCTCACTTGATTGGACTACACATGCTTCTATAAAGAATAGATAGTGATTTTTACTCTGAGGTTAAAATGGTGTTGATTTTTCTTTTAAATACAGAACCTGAGACAGAAAAAGGCTGCCGCACAGAGGAGAGATGAGCTGAGGAAATCTACTGACTCCATCGTGAGTGTTCTTTTTAATCATCTTTTTGCAAAAGCAACATATTAGAGAACTAACAGTTTCCTTGCACTTGACCACCAAATTGAGTTGGACATTGTACAGCTTTTTTCCTCTGGAATGTGTGAATTATCTGCAAAGCTGGTATGTTACATGTATACCAAGATGTGGTTATACATGTACAGGTTGAACAATTCAAATCTAGATACAGAACCTGGTATAAAAGCCTGCACCAAATAAAAAAATCTGATACAGCAACAAGGACCGAGATACAGAATACAGTTACAGAATCAGGTACAAAATCACAGGACAGGTACTAGTGCCACACTTGACAATGTGCTGTGTTATTTTCAGGATGAGTGGAGTGAGGAGGGAGGGGGGATGGTGGAGCCAGCAGTGGTGCACGCCTCTCTCACACGGGTACAGGCACAGGAAGGTATGTTTGTTTCACATATAACCAGTAAACCACCTTAGCGTAGCACCCCTGGGCCAGTTTTGTACAAAAAGTATGAGCTGTGTAAGACCAGACTGTAAGGTTTGAACCACTCAAACAAGGAAGGCCCCCTACTCTTTTTGATAAGTGCAGGGAGATTTTTAACATGCTTGAAGTGTGGCTTTCCATAAACCTCTTTACACCCCATCTAAGAGGACACAACTAACCGAAGCTAGGTGCTGATAGTGCTCATTTTCACCTAAGTCAAGTGAGGGAAATGTTGTAAAGTGCCTTTCCCAAGGACACAACTGGGATTTGAAGGCCTAGGAACATGGGACCTTCAGCCCAACAAACTGTATATGAGCTCAACAATATTATGACATGTCATGTTTTGTATTTTAGTGCCCATTTCCGCCGAGGGCTCGGTGTCCCAGTCAAAGCCCCATAGTTGATGACATAGCCAGTTTCTGAGCCCAACAATTGATGACATAGCCTGTTTCTGAGCCCAGCAATTGATGACATATTTGTTTATGACATGTCATGTTCTGTGTTCCAGCACCCAGTTCCGGTGACGAGTCAGTGTCCACTCCGTCCCGTTCGGAGCCGGTGAGCGGCGGCCGTCCACAGCTGGGCAGCAGGAGCATGTCCAACCTCACACCGGTGGAGGAGGGTCAGTTTGAGGGCAGGGCCACTGTCCTGGAGGAAGAGAACTGGGTAAATCAAATTCTTATTTTGAAAGTTCATCTGTGTTGGTATAGTTACATGTTGAAGTTAAAACACCGAAGCTGGTGTGTTACGCCAAAAGGCGGTTTTACCGGCTATACAGAACTGATACAGATACAGAAAACTTCATCTGAAAGTCCAGAAACAGATTCTGGAATGTTCTTGATTATTAACTGTCTCCCTCTTGAACTCAATGTTGTAATCAGTACAAATTTGTAGACATTATAAGGAGATGGTTTCTACTAAAGAATGTATGGCAACAAATATTGAACATAGTAGAAGTCTTTTAGAATGGTTTAGAATAAAACTTAACTAACTAGAGAGGCCGACATTTGCTTGGGAGCAAATACAGCATATTTCAGTCCATCTCCCTCCCACGCAAAAGTGGACTATTCCAAACTTACCCCAGTGTAAAACTGGCAAAGATTCTCAAATAAATGAATTATATAGTAGCCATGTAATTGAGAACAAAGATGCAAGAACAAGCACATTGAATCTCGAAAGCTTTACTAATCTTCTTACAGGTATGCAAATACTAACAATGATGAGATTTGATACATTTTGAAGGTCTTAGGCACATAAAATTGAATGTGTGGGTCATTATGTACCACTTAGGTGCAATGTGACCTCAGGTAACCCGCAATGGAACACCTGTTCCATGGCCAACGGCAAATAGAACGTGCCATTCTTTAGATAGAACATGGAACGGGTATAGCACTTTTGGCCCTTTTTTTGGGTGTAAATAGCCATTAAAGTCCCCCAAATGAGTCATTTGGAAGTGGTGTATGCCAAATACATGACTGCTATTCTGTAGACACACGTTCAAGGTACCCTTATACCGAATTTCAGATCATTTGGTTGTAACACCAGGGCTCAGGATCCAAAAATCCATTTTTTGGCGAAAAATGCCCCAAAAAACCTCCATAAAAATTTTTCAAAGGCATGTATCAAAAAAATGAAAAAAACGCCTGGGGGTATTGGCCCACTCTACCTCCATGCCAAATTTCAAGTCATTTGGCTGAATGATGGCGGAGTTGAATCCCTTTGACTGTTTGGCAGGAGGAGGAGAAGGAGAAGGAGAAGGAGAAGAAACATCAGAGAACACAATATATTTCATCCATACCATGGTATGGACTGAAATATAATTACCTAAAACAATGTTTATTTTTTCACAGGAGGAGGTGTCAGATGAAGAACTAAGACATAAGTTTGCAGAATACAGACAAAATGTAAGTTGCAACATTGATTACCTTTTAATATCTTCTTTTCAGATTTATTCATTAATTTTTGTTGCATTGATAATGTAGGTGTTAGGCTAGCAGACACATTGTCAAGATGAACAGGGAACCAGGCGCTGATTTAAATAACTAAAAAAAAAAGGACCGTACATAGCTTTTTGAGGCTGTAGGGGCAGTGGGTTGTTAGTCCACTGTGTCTAGGGCACAGTATAAATAGGGTGAGCCCATCCCTCTCCTTCCACTGCCTTTTACCTCCCCAACTGAGGTCATGTACCTATTTTACACCTGGTGCATTTCTGAGTGCACAAGACTTGTGAAAAATGTTCAAATACATGTACACAATCTGGGTCTCTGTCCTTGGTGCTGAATGCCTTCACTTAACAACAGTCAATTTTTGAGGCCGTAGTGGGTTGTTAGTCCACTGTGTCTAGGACACAGTATAAAAAGGTGTAGCCCATCCCTCTCCTTCCACTGCCTTTTACCTCCCCAACCAAAGGCAGGTACCCATTTAACACCTGCATGGAGTGAGGAAAAGTCATGTAATTTATAATAATTAATTTTTGTAAAGTACCTTTCCAAAGGGCAAAATGTCACTGTAGGTGAGTGACTGTGGAGTTTTAGGTGAGAACAGTTCTTTGTATTGCAACAAAAGCTTTCACTTGAAACAAGTATAATTGTAAAATTACTGTCCCGTTGCAGGCGAGACAGCATGTCCAGGACCTGGAGTACCAGCTGAAGATTGTCGTCAACAAGAGCAACAAGAGAGTCAACCTGATGAAGGGACAGATGCAGGACCAGAGGAACAAGTTTGAAGGGGTCAGAAAAAATTCACAGATCTGTAGAACTGAATAAAAGCCAGGAGTTACAACAGTAACTGTTAGAGGTTTGAAATGGCTAAAATGTGTGACTCACTTAAATTTATGTGATATCAAAATACCACTAAGGCCACACCAATTTGATTGTTTGTTCTCAGATTTTTTTTAGAAATATATGATTTAGCAACAGAATAAAAACAGACCTCGCCATCCTCTGATAGCCCCAAAAGCTTAAGGAGCCATGAAGTCTACCTACCAGGCTGGTTTGTAATTCAAACAATGAACCTTTTCATCAAACCAATGCATTGATAGATGGAAAAAGTAAGAAACTTCAGAATCTGTAACACCTGTTTTAACACTTGTTTTAACACCTGCTGTAACAGCTGTCATTTTCCCCACCTGCCAGGATCACCAGAAGCTGCTGGAACAGGTGTCACAGTAATTTTTCACCTGTTATGACACCTGCTGTAACACCTGTTGTAACACCTGTTATAACACCTGTTGTTTTTCCAGGAGCGTCAGGTGTTGCTAGAGCAGGTGTCGCAGGCGCAGCGGCTGCAGGAGGAGGCTGAGAAGGAGGCAGATGAAGCCATGATGCAGCTGGAAGAGTTCATCAATGAGCAAGAGAGGATTGTAAGTTAACCTTCAGCACACTGAAGTAGCTGTTTGACTTAGTCTACCAATTCTCAGTTTGTTTACAAATTAGACGGGAGAAGGTTAAATTCAGAAAGGCTGCTGACTGACAACTTCTACAATACTAAGGTGAAATATTTCTTATACAATAAGTTTTATTAGTTTGAAAAACAAAGATTGTTTTTGAACAGAATGGACTCAGTCTGCTATTTGTATATTTTGATATTACTGTGACAATTTTCTATATTATTGCTAAATACTGCTTGTTTGTACTTGGTAGGAAATGGCCCAGGCAGACGTGCGTGCCCAGAGGGAGGCACAGGAACAGCAGGTGGCAGACGCAGGTGCTGTCACAGTTACTGCAGCTGTCAGCCAGGTGGACCTCCAGTTGGTGAGACAATGCTCATTTACTTAAACTAGTAGTTCTCCTTTTAAATCATTCCTAGATTTAGATCCCAACTGTCTGAAATTTTAACACGTGTCTGTTCCTTAGGCTGATGTGAACACCAGAAGAAGTTCCACAGCTAGTGCCAAACTGGAGTCAGTGTTTCCTCCTGCAGAGGGGCTGGAGACAGAGGACAGGGTTAGTACTGTTACTTGTTATCATCCTTTTAATCTATTACTAACAGTAACTATATTTTTACCAAAAAGCAAGCCCTTCTTCTATCAATTCAGCAAATTGGTAAGTACACAATGTCATGCCAATTTTTGGGGGGCTATCAAAATTATGAAATGTACATTACTTGTTGTCCATCATTAGCAACAAGATTCCATCATATGACAGAATGAGGGATGCTAGGCAGAACCCTGTATCTTCTGGTGTATTGTAAGCATAATTCAATTGATTTGAAGATAGATATCCTAAATTTCTATAATAACTTCCTCTTCAAAGTTAGAATAAGTACTAGTATGCTAGAATTCTCATACAGAGCTAGCACTGAATCAGAACTCCATTTTGGTTAGCAGTGACATGAATATACCAGACAAACATCACAGATGATTGACAGTTGTTGACCCCTGCCTTCCCAGGATGCCACAGCGCGGGCGAGCATGAGCAGCAGAACCAGTCAGATCCGGGCTCAGCTGGAGGAGAAACGTGCTGCCATGGCAACCAGGAGGTCAAACGCCAAGGTGTCGGCGGGGTCAAGTTTCCACTCCGACGTGGACGTGCCTCTGGGAGACTACGAAGGTGAAGAAGCTTTAGAATCTTCCTATTTACTATTTCATTCATTCATTCATTCATTCATTCATTCATTCATTCATTCATTCATTCATTCATTCATTCATTCATTCATTCATTCATTCATTCATTCATTCATTCAGTCATTATATTTCATTCATTGAAGAAAACAAATTTTTTCCTCTGGTTCTTCCTTTTCTTCTCCAAACAAATAAGGTCAATGACCTGAACCAGACGTCTGTCACCATGGTAACTAGTGTTGGGTTACATCATGTTGCAATCACGTTCTGTGAAGGCAAACATAACAAAGTATGATTTCTTAAAGTATATGTATGATATACTTTGTAATATCAGATGTTCTCTCCAATGATTCTGAAACTCATTGTTGTTTCCACACACTTAAGGAGGAGACTGGGCAGATCGGGAGATTTCTACACAGAACACTGCCAGCAGGTAAGTTGTGCACATGTGGTGTGGTAGCCTACAAACATGTACATGTACAGGGTATGCAGGCATCTAGTGGTCTGCTATTATCACTGTTTTGGGATTATAAGCGTTGTGTTGGAATAACAGTTTACAATGCTATAGACTCTAAATAAAGCTCTATATTATGATGCAAGTGTTTTTGTAGGTATATTTTCTGAGTACACCATGATCTTTCTTCCCCAGTGTAAGAGCCACAGCAGACCACCCAGCCGTGAAGGAGTACCTGAAAACTTACAGCAGCGTGGTGGACTTTAAAAACAACCTCGCGAAACTCATGATCGACAAAGGTATGGTTTAAGAATATACCACATGTGCACTGCATAAAATTATACATTCTCCTAGTGGGGGAAACAAGTAGAAATGTTGCAAATTGTAAAACAATACAGTCGTATAATATTATACAGTTTTAACAGAAACACTTCCCTACATGTCACATACAATTTTATAGTCTTTGGTACTTGAAATTATGATTTTAGTATGTTTTGGATCATTGTATGTTCAACAGTGACCAATTCTAAAATTTTTTCACAGATTCAGAGAAATAAAAAATGTTGTGATGAGAAAATTTTTACCTCCTTTTTCAAGTGACTATTTGGAATATATTATGTACAATGTATGTCAGAATAATAAGATATCTAAAATGTATTTCAGAAATGATGTCAGCGTCCCAGTTGCTGAATGACATCACACCAGTCCAGTTTGACAGCAGTCAGAGTGTGCAGCAGCAACTTAGAGAGATGAAGGTTAACATCAGGATAGGTCAGTATATAATGTACACTACAGCAACTTAGAGAGATGACGGTTAACATCAGGATAGGTCAGTATATAATGTACACACTACAGCAACTTAGAGAGATGAAGGTTAACATCAGGATAGGTCAGTATATAATGTACACACTACAGCAACTTAGAGAGATGAAGGTTAACATCGGGATAGGTCAGTATATAATGTACACTACAGCAACTTAGAGAGATGACGGTTAACATCAGGATAGGTCAGTATATAATGTACACACTACAGCAACTTAGAGAGATGAAGGTTAACATCGGGATAGGTCAGTATATAATGTACACTACAGCAACTTAGAGAGATGAAGGTTAACATCAGGATAGGTCAGTATATAATGTACACACTACAGCAACTTAGAGAGATGAAGGTTAACATCAGGATAGGTCAGTATATAATGTACACTACAGCAACTTAGAGAGATGAAGGTTAACATCAGGATAGGTCAGTATACAATTTACAGGAATGCATCTGATTCATCAGAACATATAACAGTTACTGCACCTTTGTGAAACCCGGATTTTTGCATTTTTCGTTGGATGTTTGGACAATGTCGCATCTGAATTTGCCCTAACTTGCAGACGACATCTTTTCCGACACAACATTTGAAAACTATAGACGGGACGTCCTCCTTAAATACATAAATAGGACCTGTCCATAAAAAAGATGTTCTGCCAAAAGTGCTATAAACGACATGATTACACGTACAATGTATCTTTTAGTTGACAATGACATGCTCACTTTAGTGTCGCTTTTTACAATTATGAATAACTATAATGTAACACCGTTGCTGCAGCAATAAATTAAATGTAACATATCATTTCCAAAGTAACACTTTTTTCTATAAATACGAAGTAACAATTGAACACGCTATTATTTGAAATTTGTACACTAATTTTCTTTTGTTATCACCTTTTAGTTCTTCAAGAAGTGGGGACCATCTTCCAGAACTGTGTTTCTAGTGACTTGGTAAGTTAAAGAACAGTTTTTCTTGACAAATTTTCAGGATGTAAATTACAAAATCTTCAGCATGTAAAATTTAAAGAAGACTAAATGGCTTTTGAGTTTTGTTGTCATCTAAATTAGACGAAACTTAAAGTTGTTTGACATATGACACTTGATAGGAAAGATTTTGCCATCTGGTCTTAAAGTAATATAATTGAACAAGCATAGACTGTAACCACTAAAATTAGTCTGCTATTATTATAGTAAACGCTGTTAGCTGTTACAGTATCTCTTAGGCAAATGATAATTCAGGCTTGAATGTGTGGAAACTAAATTCTAGGTGGAGAGCAAATTACCTCAGGTGTGTGTAAAGGAGGCAGCAACTTCAACTGCAGACAGTGACTCTGGTCTGGAACACGAATTCATCTCTCAGACCCCCCCTCCACCACTTTTGGAGGAACCCCCCCTACAACATGACGCAGCACCCCCTGTAGTCTCTAGTTTCCCGCCGGTAACAAAGATGTCCTCAGCTTGGATTTATGATAATTATTATGGTGATGGGAATACAAGAACTATGGAGTAACTAAACTTCTGTTGTCTTCTTTAATCTCACTTGAATTCGACATTTTGAGGGTAAAAGAACTACCAATAAAAAGGCTTGATGGAAGTTGTGAAGGGGAAAACTTGTGGTGGTAAGAGTCCCAGGTGGTGGTGACCTCACTAACGCTTCTCACTGTTTATTTCCAGGGTGTCTCTTCAGTCTGAAAGGAGATTTCATTGGAACTAACATATATCTTTTTCACATCTTCCAGTGCAACATTATATGAGATATAGTTTTTTGAAAGTGAGAACTAAAAATTGAATCGGTCTTGCATTGCAGGACTATCGTGTTTCGTCTCTCATGGCGTCGCGGGAAGGTCCCGGCAGCCGGCCAGCGCCGTCTCCAGTCCGCGCTCCGCTGGGGGTCTCACCGTCGGAGGAGGAGGCTCGCAGACAGCTGGAGGAGGAGCTGGAGAAACTGTAAGGAACAAAAGAGACTCTTTTTTACACAACCAAGACTTTTATTCAGCCGACGTTTCGATGACTGTCTGTCAACTTCCTCAGGGCATTTCTGACTGGTTCACATTGCACTGCAGCACAGGTGTCACTGCTATAGATGCATTCCCAAACGTAAAATATTTACATATCTACACAATCATATGCGTGGTTGCAAGGAAATGTATCTCTTAAGGGGTCCCAAACGTACATGTACAGGAGTTGGATTACATAATCATGGTCAGTTATTAAACAAAAGCAGTTACAAAGAACAGAGAAGAGATCTTTAATCAGTGACTTATCAGTGAAACTATTCACGGAACCTACGATGTTGTTGTACGACAGGAGGATTGAGCTTAGCTATCTGCTACAGCACCATGGTGACAGACATCTGGTCCAGGTCATTGACCTTATTTGTATGAAGAAGAAGAAGAAACTGAACAAAAACAACATTGTACATATTGTGTGTATTCCTTCTGCAAAGGTTAACATATGATAATAACCTACGTTGTTGTTGTCCCACAGGAGGATAGAGCTTGACACGCGTACGAAGGAGCACGAGGACCAGCTGCGGCGGAACACGGTCGCCATGATGGAGATGCAGGACGTTATTCAGCAGCTGCAGCGTGACGTCGGCCAGGGGTCAGGGGTCAAGGTCGACCTTGCACCCTCACCATTGGTTGTTGGTAAGGTCATTCTAAATGAATCCAAAAATTGAAATGAAATTTTGAATCAGGGTGCACTGGTAAAACTAGGTTTTTAAAGTTAATTTTCTGGTAATCCTTTTGAATGTACATGTTCTAAGATGAATAAACACTATCCCATAGCATGCTGATATCTTTGACAGTTTGAGGCAAAAATGCAATGTCACTGACGGAAACCGTTTGCTTGTTTTGTACTGTAGGCTGGTTCTAGCTATTTAAGGGGAACCACAAAAATAAGATACTTCTCACATAGTTCGTAATGGGCTATTCAATAGCAGGAACCTGTCGTGGGTAGCTTGACTGACATATCCTTTTTCTGTCCCCTTTCCTTTGTCTACTAGTAACGTTGAAAAGTTATAAAAAAAAGAAAATAGTTATTAAGAAACCTCTTGTCTCTCTTGTCTAGTTTTCCTTCTTTTTTCATTTTGTTATACAATTAAAAACGGGTAAATGTCCAGAATATTTTTTTGTTTTGCTGCCCTAAAATTGCAGTGGATGCCTTTAAAATGCCTTTTCTCCTATTGACCATAGGTCCCCAGCCTAGTCCAGAAAAGTACCCCGCTCCCGGCACGCCCACAGAGCAGTCCCACCCCCAGCCTGTAGTGGAATCTGCCATCATGTTCAGTCGACTGGACTCCGAGAGAAATGCCAAGAGTCTGAAACGGGCGGTGAACAGTGGACGGCTTTCTCCTGATGTGTATGAGGTCAGGATTGGTCAATTAATCAACCAGCCAGTCAACATATCATCATATATATCATATATGCATATCATACATGCATATTGTGATGTATGGTATAATGATTAACCAGACTACTGTCTCTAAATGTCTTGTACAAAATGTATATTATGAGGTCAGAATTTGTTTCAGCTAACATGCCATCAAAACTGCCCAACTAGACAAAGGCTATCAAAAAGAGCTAACCTGTCATTTGGAACATATTTAGATACTACAAAATGTATATATGAAGGCATACCCATACTGTTTTCAGTCTTATCCTGAGTGTTGCGTCCTTAGGAAAGGCACTTAACACCTATGGCCCACTCAGGTGCTAAAGTTTGTGTGTCAAAGATGACAGAATGGGTAGCAAAATTCTGTCAAATGATAGAAAGACAGATACTGGCTAATCTCCAAGCAGATCTTTTGGTGGCCACAAAAGACAGTTACAATGTACTGGTACAGTATCAAATTGGCCAGGCAGTATCTATTGGCCTGCCTGAACTGAAACGCTCTAAGCGCAAAACCAAGAATAAGTACATGGTGTAGATGAAGTACTTTCAATGGTCTTGTAAGACCGACGAAATGCCTACCGACGAAATGAACACTCCTCTGGCCAGTGGATACTGCCTTGCCACTGTATGATCTGTTTGAAGACTTTAGATGCTGGCTAGAACATTGCCCAACAATCAGACATTCAAATCATTGTTACGTTGTCCCCACACAGGAGGTGGTTGGCATGATGGACCAGTACGTGGAGATCCCGGGAAAGCGATTGCGCCACCTAGCGGAGAAGTACCTGCATCACAGCGAGATGAAGGCGGTGGAGGAAAACGTGAGGCGCAGCTCCAGTCTCAACGGAGAAGTCTTCAAACTGCTGGAGAAGATGGAGACTCTTCAGAACAAGGTTTGTTTGTTTGTTTGTTTGTTTATTTGTTTATACTCAAATCAACCAAAGAAGATGGAGACTCTACAGAACAAGGTCTGTCTGTCTATTTGTTTGAGCCTTCCTTTATTCATGAAATACAAATCGATCTAAGAAGATGGCATCTGTTTGTTTGTTTGTTTATTCATGAAAAACTCATTAATTGAAAGAAGATGGAACAGAACAAGGTTTGTTTGTTTCTTTCTTTGAGCCTTTCTTTATTCATGAAATACTCAAATCAATCTAAGAAAATGGAGACTGTTTGTTTGTCTGTTTGTTTGTTTTGAATGTGGCCATGAATGGTTGAAAGCTCTAGGTGACAACAACCCCTTGAGAACAAACTTTCCAGTTCCGTGAATAGTTTCATCAGTAAGACACTGATTAAAGAGACTCTTTTTACACAAGCCAAAGGTTTATTCGGTCAATGTTTTGGTGACCATCTGTCACCTTCCTCAGGGTAATTCTGACAGAATTTATGTATCTACTTTGCGTTTGAGAACATATCTATTGCAGCAACTCCTGGGCTGTGCAATGTGAACCAGTCAGAACTGCCCTGAGGAAGGTGACAGATGGTCACCGAAACGTTGGCTAAATAAACCCTGGTTGGTGAAAAAGAGTCTCTCTATCCAGTGAGTTACCAACCTGATGAAACTATTTACGGAACTGGAAAGTTTGTTTGAAGTTAAACCTTTTGTACAAATGCAAGGGATTGTACTCAACTAGAGCTTTCGGCCACAACCGAGTTTGGTCATTTTCAAACACTTTGTTGTGTAAAAAGAATCTCTTTATTCACAAATTTTCCACTTGTTTATTTTTCCAGCGAGCGCAGAAGTGGAGTGCCCAGATGGACCGTATGGGCGACCATCGTGTGAGACTGGCCAATCTTCTCATGGACACTCTGGAGACCATCGAACAGGAGTCTGGCATCTTCCTCATCAAACCTATGTTCGCTTACAGGGGGAGGTAAGGCCAATACTCAATATACATAGTGTACATACAGACGTAGTACATACATTTGTACATACATATTAAATACATGTACATAGTTTATTGTTACATAGTATTACATCTTCCTCATGAAACCCAATTTTCATTACAGGGGACGGTAAGACCAATACTAGCCTAACTAAATCATGCTTTATTTAGGGCGTCATCCTTTTGTTACATTGAAAATTTTACCAGCACCACTCGATCAGAATTAATGTAGAAAGTATGGATCATAATAGAAAAATAAAAGATAAATTTGCAAAATAAAACCATTGTGTGTATTTCTTCATATTGTGGTAACAGTCATCATACAGTACAGGTTATAATTCGGTGCATAGGTAGACATAAGGAATAAACATGTACACGTACCTGCATAGCTCCAATTTTACCTGCACTATAACCTGCAAAATCTGCATGTGGTATTTTATGCTTGGGTCAAACTTGCTAGCCCCTTTCTCATGTGTGCCAAGTTTATGACTGATTCACTTGACTCTTCAACCCACAGAGCGAGGTTACGGAAGTATGACGGAAAAATCAGCCAGAACTACCGCACGCCGAACTACGGGCGGTACACACACTTCTGCGATGCGCCCCCTATCAGACTGATGAAAACTCCAGCCCCGACCCCGGCCGCCGTGAGACATCCGAGCGACGCGGCGGCCGCCATGTACGCTGCAGTGCATGTTGGGCCAACGTCGGGGGTTGTACATACCACTCATAGTAGGGACAAACCATCCATTCCTCAGCTCAGGGTAGGACATCGTTTCTTGTCTTTGATTCTTATATCTAAGCTTTTTGGGCAAAGCCTCAGCCACATTGGATTTTGTTAGGAGGCATAACGAAGAATTATTACATAACATAACTGTTACAGCTTTGTTAAGCTAAAAGTAACTTCTTCTTCGAAATAGAATAGAAGGGGAGTTTATTTTGTCTTTGATTCTTGTATCTACAACAGTAACTGTTGATCACTTTTTCTTCTCTCTTTTTGAAACACATTAAACTTTGTATACTTCATATTTTGTCCACTATATCTTATGTTAATTCCTGCATGACATCTGGAATTGTAAAGTGTCTTGCTTTGACCTTTTCTTCCATCAGATCTGTCTAATTGTAATGTCTTTAAAAAAACCATAAAATATTGGCATTCACCTGCATATATAATATAGGGTACAATATTATCATAAATTTTGTACACTAAGTTTATCTGATTCATTTTGTTTTTGCTTGAAGAAAGAGGAGGAAGATCCAGTACCAATTGACTTGCCTGTACACGGAGCTGAGTATGTAGTCATCCAGGACCCAACTGAAACTACTTGGAGTGTGAGTAAACTAATACAAATTCTACATTCATTTATGTTGTATGATCTAATAATCCATACACAACAAGTTGTATTCCATATCACCAGAGGTACCAGCCTGACTGTGGGTCAAATTTCCAGGTGTAAATGTTTGGCTTTGTATGTAAATCTGTTGGTCCAGAGGTTGACAGCATATGGGTGGGGGAAGATTGACAGACAGAACGACAAGTCAGACATGGGGAATATTGTGAACTTGAGAGGAGGTTGACAGCATGTTGGTGGGGGAGATTGACACACAGAATGACATTAAAAAATCAGACACTTGAGGGTAAAGTTCATTTACATGTATTTTGGGTGGTTAATATAGTTGTGCACCAAAGATTCAACACAACAAGCTCAACATTTTTGGGCAAAGGAAGGCTAACTTGAGACAGACTTAAAGTTGGAGAGAATTTATTTATGTTGTTAAGAACAAATTTCAACTGCACTGATACGGCTAGAAAAATACCCTGTTGCTTGACAAGTTGCGAAACTAGTTGGAAATTTTAAGAACCATGATAATTAGGTTGATTTGGTTCTTATTTAAATTTGTTTTAACTGTTTTTTTAACAGCCGAGGAACTCCCATGCTCATGCTCTGGCAGAGACCAATGGGGCGACTCCATCTGTAACACACCTCATGAACACACCTCGTATCCTGGAGCTGGATGTAAACAGGATGCTGATTGGTCGAAACACCATCAGGTCTGTCTGTAACTTTGACCAACGTCTCAGTATATATATAATCTTTAGAGCAGGTATTACCGCCCCTCTGTGTAACACACCAGCTTCTGTATCTTTATCTGTATAGTTGGTATAACTGCCCCTCAGCATAACACACCAGCTTTGGAGGCATGTGGTACAGCGGCAGCTGGCTATATTACACTGAACAACCTGTTACACCTAACCTTTTAACATCTAATTATATAAACATCATTTAAAGCTCTGTATGGTAAGGGTGTTAATTTAATGGCTTTCAGAAGTATTCCATCTGCTATTTGAGAATTATAACTTTGAATTGACTAAAAGATTAGTTACTATTTCTCTGGCCAGTCTATCTGCTTGGAAATTAGAACAGTTGAATTAACTTGTCTAATTAACTAAAGATTTGTTGCTATTTTTCCGGCCAGTTTGCGGATCCCTAAGCCGAGTCTGGGAGATGACCGGCTGAAAAACATCGCTCAGACGAATGTGAGGTCGTACATGACCTTGTCTCGACCTTCAGGAACAGGAGCCTCCAGTAAGAAACCCAAGAGACCACATTCCACCACAGGTATGCAAGGGCAACTGTCATTGGTCAATGGACATCTGATGTTTAGAACAGTCTGTCAGACTCTGTCTGATTGGTTAACAAAATTTTAAGTCAGGGGAATTTTTGAGGGGGTCTCCAGTAAGAAACTCAAGAGACCACATTCCACTACAGGTATGCAACAGCAGCCGTCATTGGATATCTGATGTTTGAAACAGTCTCTCTGATTGGTCAATAACAGTAACATTTTGGCCAGGAGATTTTTGAAGTTTCATTCAAGTGCCTTCTCAAATCTCAGTGTTGAAGAAACAGAATGCAAAAGTTAGGAACCTACTGGTATGGAAACTTTTAATACTATATAGTCCCATTTTTTTCAGTTTTCCATTAAGAAGTATTTTTTGATGGCCTAAGTATATTATTGTTTGATTGTATCCACTGTAACATTATGTAACCTTTTATTTATTAACAGTGCTATCAGTTTTATCAAGCTGCTCTTTTGAGGCAAAAATGTTAAACTATGATAAACTACTTGACAATGTTTAACAGTTTTTTCTGGGTTTATGTTGACATGAGTTCTGAAATAAAATTCTGTTTTATTCCCCCCCCCCCCCAGGTGCAGACTTGCGAGGGTTTGAGCCTCCCCCCTCCACCCCCCTGCTGCGGCACCCTGCCAGCGCAGGACCCAGGGTCGCCCCCTTCCAAGTCTCAGACATGCCCAGCCCCCGCCCTCTACCCCCCATCAGGCTCCCAACATCCGAGAAAAAGTCTCGCCCCTCCACCTCACAAACAGGACACCTCACCGCAGGTAAGGGACTCATTATGTTTACCTTCACAGAAGGAAAACATTGCTGTTGGTCAGTTTCTTATTCTTCAGAATCTTCTTCTCCAAACAAAAAAGGTCAATTAATGACCTGGACTCGAGGTCTGTCACCATGGTAACTGGTGCTGTAGCTTTGTTGGGTTACATCTTTAACAGGGCAGTTGTAGTTTGTTAGGCTAGACCAGGGAGAGGTAAACATTATGTATTTGCTAGCAAATGCTACCTTTCTAGTCTTGTAGACAATTGCAAGCATCTGGATAGATTTTAAAACTGTCAGATGTTTCAAGTAGCATCCACTATCTTTTGTCAATGACTGATAGAAATCTGTAATCAACAGGTATTTGTCCAAAAACTATGAAAACTTTTATCTCTTTCTTTTTTTCCAGAATCAGCCTCCCCAGCTCCGGGACCCACCTCCCCCCCTCGCTCTCCCCCTGGCTCTTCCATCGGCCCTAGTCCTGCTCTTCCACCCTCTGCCACCCCTCCCCCTGAAGAACAACCCCTCCCCCTGAGGAACAACCCCCTCCTGCAGAAGAAAACCCCCCTGAAGCTGCAGAGGTCCAGGAGAGTTCAGAGGTTCAGTACGAAGACAGAGCAACTTCAGTCATGACTGAGGCATCACAACAGTCCGGATCTGTTGTTGATACGTAGCAACCTCGTATGAAAACATACATTGCCATGGCGACGGCATGGGTTTAGGTCAGGACTTACAATTCCGGACCTAAACCTCTGGACTTGAATCCAGGCCTGAACCTAAGTGTGGGTTTAGGTACACAGCACTAATCATTGTACAATGTACTCTTTGACAGATCATGACTTTTGTATGACAAGAACATATCAGATTCAAGAACATTCTTATAAAGTGAACAGAGACCTGAAAGTTAGGAGTTTTCTACATAATTATATACTAGTATGCAGACAATCTAAGTACAATTCTGTTAAAAATGATGTGTGGAAAAAAGATTGTTTATAGTTGAGGAAATAGATTTTACAGAAGTGTACAGAATGTCACATTTGAATCAAAGAAAAGACAAATGACAATGAAATATACTTTAAGTTAACATTTTTATCATTAAACAAGAATTCATATTAAGATTATATATTATATGAAGTATTTTAAAGTTTGTAATTAGTAACTTTTGAAAATCCTACTTGTTTCTTAAATGTGGTTTTGCATAATCTCAAAATATTTTTGTACAAAGATGTCACTGTATATAAACATGTTGTATATTCTGTCTTCTGCTGTACTTTGTAAATTTTGTAACAGCTATCTGTATGTATGTGTGAACCAGAAAGAAAAAGATCCGATGTATATGTGCCAAATTGTTGTTTTATGTAGAATAAAATACTTTCATCACTAATTTTCGTTTCTTGTGTGAATGAGGTCTTAACTTCTCATCAGGCATAAAACACGCAGCCTGTGAGGTCTTGTCTTCTCATCAGGCATAAAACACGCAGCCTGTGAGGTCTTGTCTTCTCATCAGGCATAAAACACGCAGCCTGTGAGGTCTTGTCTTCTCATCAGGCATAAAACACGCAGCCTATGAGATCTTAACTTCTCATCAGGCATAAAACACGCAGCCTATGAGATCTTGTCTTCTCATCAGGCATAAAACACGCAGCCTATGAGGTCTTAACTTCTCATCAGGCATAAAACACGCAGCCTGTGAGGTCTTGTCTTCTCATCAGGCATAAAACATGCAGGCTATGAGGCCTTCCTTGACCATCCTACGGTCTCACAGCGCCATAGCGATATTAGCCAGAACTGCAACATGTACCGTTGGTGCGGTCACAGAGTTAGGCAAAACTTTAGGGAGACCGTTAAGGCGGTCGCAGAGTTAGGCAAACTTAGGACACCGTTGGGCAGTAACAGAGTTAGGCAAAACTTTAGGGACACCGTCGGGGCGATCACAGAGTTAGGCAGAACTTAAGCGAGACCGTTAAGGTGGTCACAGAGTTAGGCAAAGCTGTGAGACCGTAGGATTTCTGCACAGAACAATTTCTGCACCTTTCTCTAGTATTGTGTAGCACTACTTTGTACCCGTACGGGGTTCGCCCATGAATACTGTGTTGTGCGGTCGGAACCATTTAAATCTCACGAACATGCAAATGAGGTAATTTGTACCATTTAAATCTCACGAACATGCAAATGAGATAATTTTTATGAAGATCACGCCGTGTGGCGCTACACATGTCCATAAAACGTGACTCAAATGCTAAGTTATATATTTTGAAGTTTCTTCCGGTTCTTAAGAAGCCAACACGACCAATTGTACCGTGTCGGCATCAAACACAACCGGGCCGCCATGTTTGTTCACATGTTGAATAATAAACGTAGCGTGCCTTTCGTAGTAACATTCCCGAAAACGCCGCCGAAATTGCGCTTTCCTGTTATGATTTTTTGCTGAAATTGTGTTGTTACGATTATCGCTATTGTTGTAATTAATAAATGTTAGAGTATGAAATAGTCGTTCCCTTGAGTGCAAAACGTCGAAACCTGGCCGATGGACATGTGTAGCAGTGGCCTCTAGCGATTTGTTCCAAACTGCAGGGTCACATTTACCTGTGGCTGACGTAACTATGACGTAACTGTAGTAGTACACAACTTACAGTACAAGTATCAAAGCGCAAATCTACGCCGACTGAACACGCACCATAATTCAACTTTTACAGTCTCAAAACTGACGTATTCCTCTAACATTTACCACAGGTTCCATCTCGATGCCACGCACAGAACAATTTCTGCACCTTTCTCTAGTATTGTGCAGCACTACTTTGTACCCGTACGGGGTTCGCCCATGAATACTGTGTTGTGCGGTCAGAACCATTTGAGTCTCACGAACATGCAAATGAGGTAATTTGTACCATTTAAATCTCACGAACATGCAAATGAGATAATTTTTATGAAGATCACGCCGTGTGGCGCTACACATGTCCATAAAACGTGACTCAAATGCTAAGTTATATATTTTGAAGTTTCTTCCGGTTCTTAAGAAGCCAACACGACCAATTGTACCGTGTCGGCATCAAACACAACCGGGCCGCCATGTTTGTTCACATGTTGAATAATAAACGTAGCGTGCCTTTCGTAGTAACATTCCCGAAAACGCCGCCGAAATTGCGCTTTCCTGTTATGATTTTTTGCTGAAATTGTGTTGTTACGATTATCGCTATTGTTGTAATTAATAAATGTTAGAGTATGAAATAGTCGTTCCCTTGAGTGCAAAACGTCGAAACCTGGCCGATGGACATGTGTAGCAGTGGCCTCTAGCGATTTGTTCCAAACTGCAGGGTCACATTTACCTGTAGCTGACGTAACTATGACGTAACTGTAGTAGTACACAACTTACAGTAAAAGTATCAAAGCGCAAATCTACGCCGACTGAACACGCACCATAATTCAACTTTTACAGTCTCAAAACTGACGTATTCCTCTAACATTTACCACAGGTTGCATCTCGATGCCACGCACAGAACAATTTCTGCACCTTTCTCTAGTATTGTGCAGCACTACTTTGTACCCGTACGGGGTTCGCCCATGAATACTGTGTTGTGCGGTCAGAACCATTTGAGTCTCACGAACATGCAAATGAGGTAATTTGTACCATTTAAATCTCACAAACATGCAAATGAGATAATTTTTATGAAGATCACGCCGTGTGGCACTACACATGTCCATAAAACGTGACTCAAATGCTAAGTTATATATTGTGTAGTTTCTTCCGGTTCTTAAGAAGCCACCACGACCAATTCTATCGTGTCGCGCACCAAACACAACCGGGCCGCCATGTTTGTTCACATGTTGAATAGTAAAAGTAGCGTGTCTTTTGTAGCAACATTCCCGAAACCTGACCGAAATTGCGGTTTCCTGTTATGGTTTACCGTCCCATGTTTTTAGCTGAAATTGTGTTGTTATGATTATGGCTTTTGTTAGAATTTATAATTTTTAGAGTATGAAATAGTCGTTCCCTTGAGTGCAAAACGTCCTGACGTCGACGAAACGTCAGGACGAAACCTGGCCGATGGACAGTGTAGCAGTGGCCTCTAGCGATTTGTCTCCAAACTGCAGGGTCACATTCACCTGTGGCTGACGTAACTATGACGTAACTGTAGTAGTACACAACTTACCGTACAAGAATCAAAGCGCAAATCTACGCCGACTGAACATGCACCATAATTCAACTTTTACAGTCTCAAAACTGACGTATTCCTCTAACATTTACCACAGGTTCCATCTCGATGCCACGCACAGAACAATTTCTGCACCTTTCTCTACTATTGTGCAGCACTACTTGTACCCGTACGGGGTTCGCCCATGAATACTGTGTTGTGTGGTAAGAACCATTTAAGTCTCACGAACATGCAAATGAGGTAATTTGTACCATTTAAATCTCACAAACATGCAAACGAGAT